ATGTGAATTTTCAGGGTGAAGCGGCCGCCAGGTTCTCCGCATGTCTTCAAGGCGCGTTACGATGCTCGAGGCTTCAGTCAACGGCAGGGAGTTGACTACTTTCAGACCTTCTCTCCCACCCCGAAGATGACCACTCTTCGGGTGCTGCTGCACATAGCCGCTTAGCGCGACTACGAGCTTCACTCTCTTGACTTCAGCACAGCTTTCCTGCAGGGCAGCCTGCACGAGGAGATCTGGCTGCGCCGCCCACCTGGCTTCACTGGGTCTTTTCTTCCTGGTACCCAGTGGAGCCTCCGGCGGCCAGTCTACGGTCTCCGCCAAGCGCCCCGTGAGTGGCACGACACAATGAGGACTACACTTGCGGCTCTTGGGTTTGCTCCTTCTACAGCCGACCCGTCGCTGTTTCTGCGCACCGACACCTCTTTGCCGCCGTTCTACATCCTCGTGTACGTCGACGACTTGGTCTTTGCCACTGCTGACACTGCTGAACTCGCCCACGTGAAGTCGGAGCTGCAGAAGAGACACACGTGCACAGACCTGGGTGAACTGGGCAGCTACCTTGGCTTGCAGATCACCCGGGACAGAGCACAGCGCACCATTACCCTGACTCAGTCACACATGGTGCAGCAGGTCCTTCAGCGCTTCGGCTTCGCGTACTCCTCGCCTCAGGCCACTCCTCTGTCTACTCGCCACTCGCTCTCAGCTCTGCCTTCGGATGAGTTCGTAGAGTCGAGTGGCCCGTACCCAGAGCTTGTTGGCTGCCTCATGTACCTGATGACCTGCACACGACCTGACCTTGCATACCCTCTTAGCATCTTGGCACGCTATGTGGCTCCTGGGAGACACAGACCAGAGCACATGGCTGCAGCGAAGAGGGTGCTGCGCTACGTGTGCAGTACGTCGCGCATGGGGCTAGTGCTTGGAGAACGACGTCGAGTAGTCCTCACAGGTCACGCTAACGCTTCTTGGGCTGACGACCAGGCTCTGCAGCGGTCGTCACAGGGTTACACCTTCAGCCTTGGTTCCGGCTCTGTTTCGTGGCGGTCTACCCACTCGTCTTCTGTTCTCAGCTCCAGCTGTGAGGTTGAGATCTACGCAGGGGCCATGGCTGCACAGGAGCTACGCTGGCTCACCTACCTGCTGACTGACCTAGGAGAGCCGCCTCGTTCTCCTCCAGTTCTGTACGTAGACAACAAGGCCATGCTGGCCTTGTGTCGGGAGCACAGACTGGAGCACAGAACGAAGCACATTGCTCTCCGCTACTTCCTGGCTCGTGAGCTGCAGCAGCGTGGTCAGCTGCGCCTCACCTACGTGGCCTCTGAGGCCAACACTACTGATATCTTCACCAAGGCCCTTCCGCCTTGTGATCATCAGCGCTTCTGTACTTTGCTAGGTCTTGTGCCTACCTAGCCTCACTTGCTCACTTCTTGATCTTGTTTTTATTGTCCTCTTTCTATACCTGCATTTGCTTGTTTACCTTTATATATATGATCTTGCATGTGAACTGGCCTTGTGGCCTTACTCTTGTGCTCGGACTGTGTGGTGACTTTGTGATCCACCCTGAGCTTGCTTTGCTTTGCTTGACTGGTCTTGTGACCGCTTGTTCTCCCCCACTTTGCCTATGGGGGTGTGTCAGAACATTATAGCTTATACATTTGTGTAGGCTGTAGTGGGGTAGCCCATAAGGGGTACAAACCAATTAGGGTTAGTACTTGTACCCTACTGTTTCATAGTTCATTCATCCATTCTCACTTCTCCTCATGTACGAGTTATGAGTTCTACCGTTCGGTTTGACCAACGCCGCAGCGACGTTTCAGACGCTCATGAACACAGTCCTCTCGGAGTTCTTAGGTTCGTTTGTTGTAGTCTACCTAGACAACATCTTTGTCTTTTCGAAGACGAAAAAGGAGCACGTGCAGCACTTGCAGAAGGTCTTTGAGGTCTTGAGGAGGGAGCAGTTGTACGCGAAGCTGTCAAAGTGCGAGTTCTTCCTCCCCGAGGTCGATTTTCTAGGTCACGTCGTATCCGCTAGTGGCATTAGGACCGACCCAAAGAAGATCGCAGCAGTACAGGATTGGGCGGCACCGACCTCAGTCAAGGAGTTGCAGAGCTTCCTCGGATTCGCAAATTATTACCGTTGTTTCGTTCAGGGTTACGCATCGATCGCTAGTCCACTCACCGACCTACTTCGGAAGGGCGTAGAGTTTCTTTGGGGTCCAGCGTAGCAGCACGGATTCGAGCAAATGAAGCAGTCGCTCACGTCTTCTCCGACACTTTCGTACCCTAATCCCACTCGCCCATATGTTGTAGTGACCGACGCTTCAGATCAGGCCATAGGAGCAGTGCTTCTTCAGGACCAGGGACGCGGGTTGCAGCCGATCGCGTACGAGTCACGTAAGCTTAGGGGAGCGGAGTTGAACTATCCCATATACGAAAAGGAGGCGCTCGCGATCATCCATGCGTATAAGGTGTGGAGGTGCTACCTAGAGGGCGCAAATAGTGTTATACACACGGACCATTGCTCGCTTTGCTTCCTCAAGTCGCAGCCGCAGCTAAGTCGTCGCCAGGCTAGATGGATGGAGTTCATGGAGGGGAGTTTCCATTACAGGATAGAGTTCAAGCCAAGCATTCGCAACCCAGCAGATCCGCTCACTCGCCCTAGTTGCCAGCTCGCTAGCCTCACAGTCACTGCCGGCCATCCACTTCTCACAGCACTCTTCGAGCACGGTTACACAGTAGATCCCGACTTCACACAGCAGCCGCCCGCAGGAGCAGAGGTGCAGGGTATTGTCTACATACGGAAGGGTACCACATGGATTTGGGTTCCACCCTACCGCCCTCTTCGACAGCTCCTTCTCTCAGAGGCGCACGACGTAGTTAGTGCAGGTCACTTCGGAGCAGATAAGACGGCTAAGACGCTTAGTCGCACGTACTACTGGCCAGGGCTTGCAGCAGACGTAGAGGATTACATTCGCTCGTGCGACACGTGTCTGCGTACGAAGTCCGCTCGCCAGCGCAAAGCAGGACTCTTGCAGCCAATTCCACCGCCCGACCGCCCTTGGCAGGTTGTTACCATGGATTTCATCATGGCATTACCGCGCACAGTTAGGGGTCACGACGCCATCTTCGTGGTAGTGGATAAGTTTTCTCGAGCAGCGCACTTCATCCCCACGCACGGCAAGGTCACAGCAGAGGAAGCCGCGACGCTATTCGTAGATAACGTAGTCCGACTGCACGGGGTTCCAGATTCCATCATCTCAGACCGCGACCCTCGTTTCACTTCGAAGTTCTGGAAGCAGCTTTTTGCACTGTATGGGACTCGCTTAGCCATGTCGTCTGCGTACCATCCAGAGACAGATGGATAGACCGAGCGTGTGAACCAGACCTTGGAGCAGATTCTTCGCAGCATCACGATGCACGACGCAGCCGCATGGGACAAGAAGCTGAGCATGGCCGAGTTCGCCTACAACAACACGCACCACTCGTCCACAGGCATGTCACCATTTTTCGCACTGTACGGTCAGCACCCCAACGTCCCCATTCGTGTCGATCTCACACCCCCAGTCCCTCGTGCGGACAACTTCCACTAGCATCTCACATTCATCCATGATCACGTGAGGAAGCACCTTGAGTTCGCAAATTCACGCATGGCACGCACCACCAACCGCAGTCGTCATGAGGTGTCGTTCGCAGTTGGCAACCGTGTTCTCTTGGATAGCCGCAACCTCCGACTGCCACAGGACAGCAAGCTTTGTCCACGTTTCATTGGTCCATTTGTCATTGAGCGCGCACTTGGTCCCGTCGCATACCGCCTCCGCCTTCCCGCTCATTTCCGCATGCACCCGTCATTCCACGTGTCACTTCTTCGTCCTTACACCGATCCCAACGCCACCTTCTCGGGCCGTGACTGCACTCCACTGCCGGTAGCTGTTGACACCGACGAGCCCGACTACCAGATACATCGCATCCTCAGGCACCGTCGCCGTCTCCAAGGGGATGTCCCTTTCATCGACTTCTTGGTTCGTTGGCGTGGTTACGACGCAGCAGACGACAGCTGGGTTCCTTCGTTCTCGCTGTCTCCCGACAACGCTTGCCTCCAAGCGTACCTCCAGTCTGCAGGCGCCGCGGACGTCGCCTCCTTGGGAGGGGGGTAGTGTTAAGGGGGGATTTACTGTTCATTATGAACAGTACTTTCCAACTCACCCTTATCCTTATCTTCCTTGATTTCCTAGTGCCACGTGGCACTCTACCTTTCTTGCCTTCAATTCCTAGTCCCACGAAGTACTTTCCAACATTCGATCTTGCATGCTATATCAACCTTGCTTGTACTTGCCATTATCAACCAATTCTCATTCAACTCTTCTTCAATTACTCAGTAATTTCCTCGCCTATTTCGCCAGTAGTTCTTTCGCCAAAGTCTTCCGCCTCATTTCATCCTCGACTTAGTCGAACTCGCTAATTCTTTAGCGGACTTAGGCCGTCGGGCCTAACAGACGGCGATTGGATGGCGAGTTGCGGAACAAAACACCTGGGCAACGAGTGTAGCGAATTCTCCTACGTTCGCTAACCCAACCAATGTCACAGGGCTACGCCTGCGACCTCCGAACCTAAACCATGGTACCCAAGCGAAAATCGCCAACTTACCATACCACACTTGCGAAAGTTGGTAGCACAAGATACGGTTTGGTAGTCGGGCACCTGGCACCACCGTACCAAACTGTTTGGTTTGCAGTCAATCGCAGCTGCACCAGACCAAACCCGACAGTTTTGCGAGTGACCGTTCGGTTACCAAGCGCACTACTTTTGGTCAGAAACAAGAAATTTGAGACGCCGGAGATACGACACGAAACGCTCACCGTACCTATAGCGCCCGTCGTGCCTGTTAGGAGAAACCGCCATAGCAGCACTGCGACTTAGTCGCCAGATCCGCGACCTAGCCGCCAGATCCGCCACCTATCCGCCTGATCGGCCACCTCTATTCGACGGGCGCTGCTATACGCATGGCGAAAATGAACGAGCTAGTGATAGCAGGGATGAATTTCACGTGCGTGCTGGCGGCCGTGGCGGAGTATCAGATGCCCGAGAAGGAATGCCTCCTCAATCTGCTGGCCAAGGCGCTGGGGTACGGCATCATTCTTGGATCCACGATTCTGAAGCTCCCGCAGGTGAAACGCGATCCCAATGAAGGATAATTGATTACAATATGAGGTCGATTACAATATGTCTTTCATGGTATTAATGCTCCCACCAGTGAATAGGATTCTGAAATCTGTACGTAAGTTGATTCGGGAACGCGACTCACGATACTAGAGCCCCCGCAGGTGAAGTGAGACACTGTGATTGGTTAGCGACAGATGCTAAGGTCCGGCGACGTCGTCCCGTAAATCCCAAAGCGAGTTCGCTGTGCGAAATTGAGCCGCAAAGGTGGTGGTGTGCGTGTGCGGCGACGGCAATTGTCGCAAGAGCAGAGACTGTGTGAGTGTGTTGGTCGGACGAGGCAAATTTAACAACGGTGGTTGGAAGCGGCTTGCCATGCCAGACGCGCACAAGCCTCAATTGAGAAAGGCTGGTTGGGAGCGGCTTGCCACACGCGCACAAGCCTGAGCGGCTTGCCACACGCGCACAAGCCTGAGCGGCTTGCCACACGCGCACAAGCCTGAGCGGCTTGCCACGCGCACACAAGCCTGAGCGGCTTGCCACGCGCGCACAAGCCTGAGCGGCTTGCCACACGCGCACAAGCCTGAGCGGCTTGCCACACGCGCACAAGCCTGAGCGGCTTGCCACGCGCACACAAGCCTGAGCGGCTTGCCACGCGCGCACAAGCCTGAGCGGCTTGCCACGCGCACACAAGCCTGAGCGGCTTGCCACGCGCACACAAGCCTGAGCGGCTTGCCACGCCAGACGCGCAAAAGCACAATAGTCGTCACAGAGAGGTACTAGGGTCGTCGCTGTCTATTGAGTCGACTCTAAAGTCGAGGGTCACAGAGAGGTACTAGGGTCGTTGCCACACGCTCGATTTAACAACGGTGGTTGGTTGGGAGCGGCTTGCCATGCCTCGCGCACAAGCCTCCAACCCAAGAGAGGTACCCAAGAGAGGGTCGTCGCTGTCTCGCAAGCCGTTAATGACTGGGCACTAGTAGCACTATGGAGCGGGTACCACCCCTTAAGATCGCACATATAAATGGTTATATTTCGTTTTGCCTTTTTTGCCAACCTTTTTGCAGATTCTCGTGATCATCCGCAGCAACAGCATCGAGGGCCTGAGTGTACCGTCGTTTGAAATCGAGTGTATTGGCTACACTGTCTCTGTGGGGTACTGCCTCTTTAAGAAGGTCCCCTTTACTGCATATGGCGAGCTGTTCTTTCTCCTCCTACAGTGTAAGCATTTGTTATGCGTTGTAACGAGCAATCACTTTCGTTTTTTCACACGCTCCGGTCGCCTGTTGGCTCTCTGCTTCTGTCCCTACACTCGTTTACGGTTAGAGTTGACCGCCTTCGCCCTTCGTGCATTTGCAGGGCAAAAAGCTTTACGTTACTTCAGATACCCATCCCTGTCCCTCGCTTTCCCTCCACACCCCCTTCCCCCCATCTCCCCCCTTCTCCAACACACCCACTCTGTCCCCTTGTGCAATTCTCATCGTTCTTATGTACTAGCATGTGCCCAACCATGCTCTTGACTCCTTAAAAGGCAGAAGTTTACTTTTGAGGCGCCTCAAAAGTATCCTCATGTTCCTCATGTACCAGCATATGCCCAACCACGCTCTTGACTCCTTGGAAGGCCGAAAGTTTTGTGTTCTGGTTTCCCACCTTGTCCCTCTTTCTCCCTCCACACCCTCTCTCCCCCACCCCTCCCCCCACCCATCACCCCCCACGCTCCCCCCCTCCTCTACCCCCCCCCCCCTTTACTCTTTCCCCCTGGGCAGCGCTCATCCTCATGTTCCTCATGTCCCCTTGCTCTCCTACCCCTCTCCATATTTTCTCCTCTCCCCTCCCCTCCCCCCTGGGCAGCGCTCATCCTCATGTTCCTAATCTACTCGCATCTGCCCAACCAGGCAGCCACCACATGGATCAAAGTGGGCATGTGAGCCCCTTTCCCCTTTCCCTCCCCCCTTCACTCGCATTTGGCCTGAACATGCCCACCACATGGGTCGAAGTGGGATTGTGAATGGCACATGTTAGGTCACAAGGTCCCAATAGGATAAAAGCGGAAATGCGTATGCGAGTCCCTCCCCCCTCCTCCCGCATTGCATATAATCTGCCCATGACCATGACCATGCCCATGCCCATGCCCATGACTAGACATGAGCATCGGGCGAACACCGAACATGTTCGGTTCGCCGGAACATTGTTTGGGGATTAGGGGTGTTCGAGGTTCGTCATAGGAGGGCGAACACTGCATGTTAGGGGCGAGGTTCGAGGTTCGAACATGTTCGAGGTTCGTCATAGGAGGGCGAACACTGCATGTTAGGGGCGAGGTTCGAGGTTCGAACATGTTCGAGGTTCGTCATAGGAGGGCGAACACTGCATGTTAGGGGCGAGGTTCGAGGTTCGAACATGTTCGAGGTTCGTCATAGGAGGGCGAACGCTGCATGTTAGGGGCGAGGTTCGAGGTTCGAGCGTGCGTTTTCATTGGGCCTGCTCCTCCCCCGTCGCCCCCCCCCTCTCCCCTTCCGAACATCGAACATGTTCGGCCGAACATTTATTACCAAAAAACCTCTGTTCGGCTTGGTCACGAGCATGTTCGGACGAACCGAACATGTGCATGGCAGAGAGGGCTATGACCGTTGGTCTGTCAATGCTCTCTGCTTGGATCAAGATGGGTATATTCGATGACCCATCATGTGGATTCAGCAATATATTATATAAATGAAGACCCAGCTCTCTCTCTCTCTCTCTCTCTCTCTTAAGCAACTACACATCCGCTTTTCTCTTCTCAGATCTTCTATGCTGTCTGTTTGTGCTCTACCAGTGCTGTTTTGAGACGTGGCTCTCAAAACCCTTCTTCAAACACGTGGCTCTTCTCAGATCTTCTATGCTGTCTTTTGAGGCGCCTCAAAAGTCTTCTATGCTGTCTGTCCGTCTGTCTGTCTGTGCTCTACCAGTGCTGTTCTCACGCCACTCCCTGCACCCACTTCTCTCCCCCTCTCCCCCCTTTCTCCTGCTTTTAAACAGCTACTCCGCCATGCTACCAGTGCTCTTCTTTTCTCAGGGGCGAGGAGTGCACAGCACACCCCGACACCACCTCTCTTCCCCCTTTCGTCCCTCCCATTGACACCCTCCCCCCACCCCGCCCTCTTCTCCCCACCAGCTACTCCGCCATGGTACCAGTGCTCTTCTCAGGGGCGATGAGCGCACACCTGTACGAGACCATCTATGTAAGTAGGCCTTCTTTTGAGTCGACTTAAAAGCAGACTCAATATGAGGCCACACCTTTACGAGACCATCTATGTAAGTAAGCCTGTTTTTCAAAAGGGCACTTGAGGGGCGCACCTGTACACGACCACTGACGAGAATGGTCTGCCTGATTATCTTGCCTTTTTGGTCAAAGAGCACCGGTATAATAACTTTACAAGACCAGCCGTGCTGATTTCTTGGCCTTTCACTCTCTCTGTTGAACTAACGAGTTGCTACGGGGGGGTAGGAAAGAGGTGTGCTCTTTAGCTAGCCAGTAAGTGTGCTCGGCGCGCCTAAAGCAAAATGTGCATTGTGTCAATTCAACTTGTCAATTCGTCAACTTGTCTTGCTACAAGCAGCAGAAGTTGACAAGTCATTTTTTGAGTCGACTCACTACATGCAATTCAAGTTTAAAACGTGCATTGTTAACTTTTCAACTTGTCAACAACCAGCAGAAGTTGCGTGATTGTTTATTTTTAGCAGCACCACTCTGCCATGACCCTTCCAGATTTTTGTCAATCATCCATTTTGTCACTCACTACATCCTCTCCACTCTACTCCACTCCACTCCACTCTAATTGCCACTCCATCAAGTCCCTCCATCACGCATGCTAGCTGCATTCCTCCACATTCTCACGCGCTGATTCAACTCTAAGTGGGGACCCATGGTCCCATGCCATCTCATCCTTCAATGCATGCTTTGAGACGTCTAACAGCTCAAAACTTTTGACACGCCTCACAACACTAAACTGGATCCCATGGTCCCATGGTCCCATCCCATCTCATCCTTCTATGCATGCAAAAACACCCAAACGGCTCTGTTCATCATTGTGTTGTTTTGATTCAACTCAGAACAAACCAAACCAGGTTTGCATCCCATACCGATTCAACCCCGTTATGTAATCACATGCAGAACGCTCAAACGGCGCTCTTCACCATAGGACGCATCCCTCAGATGTGGAGTAACTATGTGGTGAGCTTTGTGCATTGGCTTCTGAGTCGCCTAAAAAAAAGAATCTTGTATCCTTTCGCGAATCCGATTCAGTTTTGAAGTCACCTGACGAAAACGCATCCTTGGGATCGGTTTGACGTAGTGATGAGCATTGAGCAGGCCTAGTTGTGCCCACGGCAGCCGCAAAAGCTATGCACATGCTATGCGCGGTTCTGATGACTGCTTGTTGCTCCCTGCTTGTTGCTCCCTGCTTGTTGCTCCCTGCTTATATCGAAATCACTTTTGAGTCGACTCAAAAGGTTCTGATGACTGCATGTTGCTCCCTGTGCTGCATGTTGCTCCCTGTGCTGCATGTTGCTCCCTGTGCTGCATGTTGCTCCCTGTGCTGCTTGTTGCTCCCTGTGCTGCATGTGTTCGCATCAGCGCTTGCGTGCTTGTTCCATCTCATGCCATCTCATGCTGTGTCCTGCTGTGCCCTGCCATGTCCTGCTGTGTCCTGCCGTATCTTGCTGTGTCCTGCTATCTCATGCCGTGTCTTGCTGTGTCCTGCTGTGCCTTGTCCCATTCCATGTCATGTCCTTCGTATCGGGTTATGCCATCTTGTCATTCCTTTGCCATGTCGTCTTACTTTGCTTGACTTTTGAGGTGCCTCAAAAGTTGTCATTGCTTTGCCGTGTCATCTGACTTTGCTTGCATGCCATGCGAGTGACTTCCCCTGACTGTTTTTTCTAACAGCCCATACTCCACCGGCTATGCCATTGCCATGTCACACCCCCGTATCACTTCATGCTCATCTCGTCACGGCCATGCGTGTTTTGAGTCGACTCAAAAGGCTTCCCCTGACTGTTTATTTACGCCCCATACTCCACCGGCCCATACTCCACCGGCCCATACTCCACCGGCCATGTCATGTCACACACCCGTGTCACTTTATGTTCATCTCGTCACGGCCATGCCATTATGTCATGCCATCTCATGCCATTTCATGCCATGTTCGCATGCACTGCCATGTTCGCATGCACTGCCATGTTCGCATGCACTGCCATGTTCGCATGCACTGCCATGTTCGCATGCACTGCCATGTTCGCATGCACTGCCATGTTCGCATGCACGGCCATGTTCGCATGCACTGCCATGTTCGCATGCACTGCCATGTTCGCATGCACTGCGATGTTCGCATGCACTGCCATGTTCGCATGCACTGCCATGTTCGCATGCACTGCCATGTTCGCATGCACTGCCATGTTCGCATGCACTGCCATGTTCGCATGCACTGCCATGTTCGCATGCACTGCCATGTTCGCATGCACTGCCATGTTCACATGCACTGCCATGTTCGCATGCACTTCCATGTTCGCATGCACTTCCATGTTCGCATGCGCTGCCATGTTCACATGCACTGCCATGTTCGCATGCACTGCCACGGGCACTCTTCTGCCATCTCCTACGAGCAGAGCAAGAGCACGGGGCAGCTGAGTGTGTTCACCACATTCCTCACCTTTGCTGGCTGCATTGGTAAGCACCACTCACCCTCCATTCTGTAAGTCAATCAACCACCTCACTTTCTTTGAGTCGACTAAACAAATCAGTCACCTAACTCTCCCATCCATGAACTGACTCCTGAGGTTCCTCAGACATCCACTCAGTATGAATGAAATCACCTTTTTCTCTTGACGACTAGAGCGATGCCAGTTCTGCCTGCCAACCCTTTTGAGGTGCCTCAGACCTCCTTCCATTGTTCAGTATGAATCAAATCACCTTTGTCTCTTGACTACTTGAGCGAAGCCAGTTCTGCCAATCCGTCTTGCAATGTAAGGCATGATCGTTGGTAATCCAACTCACTGCCAAGATTCTGCGAGACCAAACAAGCATTCATATAGGCACTCACTGACCAGCCTTGATTCTGTAGAGGAGAAGGTGTGCTGCTGCATTGGGAGGTTTTCCTGCTCTGTGCTTCACGATTCGTTTTCTCCTCTTCTTGGTGTTCTTTTGTCCTCCCCATGCCGCAGCCCGTCTGTTCACGTCTATCCAAGAAAAGGCCCCTCTAAGCAGTAAGGCACCCCTCACATTCCCTCGTCAATCCTTCGTTTCTTAGCTGCTCATTTTCTCATCCGCTTTCTTTTGTTTTTTGCTAGTCACGGTCTTTTACCTTGGTTTCCCCTCACCATCCCGCTTTCCTTCATTGCCCACCAAACCCACCCCGCCCAAGCCTTCCCCCCACCCCACCCCACCGCCGCGTTCCCACCACTCCAACCCAAGCCTGGCTGTGTCCGGCGTACGCGTGTTAGCGTTTTTATCTGTGTTTCCTCCTCCCATTTTCTATATTCCCTGTCGTGCTTCGCAGTGGCCATTGGTAGCATTTTGGGCGTGCTATCACACGGCACCATCTTTGCGCAAATAGTGTACTACACCTACATTTGCAAAGGAAAAGCAAGTGTGACCGCTGTCACCAAGAGGAGCACCGGCAAGAAAAATGAGAAATCCAAGGGTATGGAGAGTAAGGCTAAGGCTGGAAAAGACAAGAGCTCATGATTATGGAGGGTCATTTTTCTACTTCATATGCTATACCGTACCATCTCAACATGCTTTGAAAATACTGGTTCTATACTGATAAACGTGTCGCTTCTGTAGAAACCAGACGTAAACCACGGTAGTCACGAGAAATGACTGGCCAGTGGAGAGAAACAAGTGGAGGGGTGTAAGGAAAATCCCTTTTCCTTACTTCGCATCCCTGCTCATCGCGTACATCACTGTAGCACCTCAGTCAGCACCGTTACCACTCGCGACCATCGCATCGACACACATCCCGCCATTTTCGCACATCGCACCCCGACCTCACGGCTCGGCGGGTAACCCGCGCTCCGGGCCTACGCTTCGACATATTTCCCAACCTCAGTCCCAGGTTTGTCGCGCGACAACCACAGTTCATTACCGTTACCACTGTAGTTTCGCTATATATTATTCGCTCATGCCTTCGCTCATTGTACTCTTGCTTCGATAGTGCAATTCTCGTTCGTTCACTCAATTGCACTCGTAACACTTGGTATTCAGAGCCTACGATCCCATCTCGGACCGCATCCACACCTTCGCTTCCCCACTATCTCAATTTTTTGGGGGGGTAGACGTCTCTCAGCGACACAGCACCGCCGCTCGTAGTGCTCTCTCGTAAGCACGCACGGCCACGACAGAGGCTCTCGCTGAGCTTGCCCGACACCCCCGCCATGGCCGATTTCACACTCGCCACATTGACGCAGGAACAGCTTGATCGTCTTGTGCGTCAGCTGGAAGAATCGGCACTCGAAATCGCGACGCTCACGGCGGAACGGGACTCCGCCCGTCAACAGTCTACGATGAACGCACCGACAACACACCACGCACCAACAAACGCATCTGCACATTCGGATGAGCCGATTGTCATCTCGTCCGGCACACCAACACAACATGACAGCACGGGACAACGCTCAGGCGCAGCCAGTGAGGGCGCCGCCCAGCCGATGCCTGGCATGGGAGGAAACAGGATCGCACCAAGCCCACGGGAGCCTCGAGAAGTCCGTCGGCACGTGGAATTTGCGGCGACAAGTGGCGAAAACACCAACATGGCACCAATGCCGCTCAAGCCGCAACGCCCGCCCTGCTTCGACCCAAGTCAACGTGGCGGTCCGACAGTTCAATCGTGGGTCTTCACGATGAACGTTTTCTTCGACGCCAATTACGTCGAGTCGGACGCCGCAAAAATCCGGTATGTGGTTTCACTGCTAAGGGGCCCCGCCATGGACTGGTGGCGAGTCATCGTGACGTCGCCACGCGCCTACGAGCCACCGTCGCACGAGGAAGGGCCCTCGGGCCCAGCTGTCACCTGGAGTTCGTTCTGCGAGACCGCCCAATACAGCACGTGGGATGCGTGGTGCGCAGGGCTTCGGGCGCGTTTTGAGCCGATCGCGGCTTCAATTTCGGCACGTCAGAAACTGCGCACTTGGCGCCAGCTCGGGTCAGTTCAAGACTACACCAGCGGTTTTCTCGCACTTTGCGAGCAGGTCGGCTACATGCACGAAGCGGAGCGGGTGGACCGTTACGTCGGAGGGCTGAAGCCGGACATCTCACACGAGATAATGCTGCGCGGACTCTCTAACTTCAACGAGATTCTCGCGCTCGCCGAGAAAATCGACATCCTACGCCGACCGAGACCGGGGTCCTACTACGGACATCGTCCTCGAGGACCGACCGAGCACGCCACTGTACACGCCGTCGCAACAAATGCAGCTGCCGCACCGTTTAAAGGGCGCTGCTTTGCTTGCAACAGGCCGGGCCATCGCAAGAGCGAATGCCCAGAGGAGCTGAGACGTCGAGGAGCAGAGCAGGGGAGGGAGTCTCAGAGGCAGGGAAACGCCAGGAGTCAGTAGAAGTTGGGCCAACTACTGACGAGACTGCCTGCTCGCCCAACCACACCGACCCTCACCGAGTCACAGTACCGATTCACGCCATCGATCGGGCTCGGATGAATAAGGAGGGTACAGCGACGGATTGCCCGGTACTGATCTACGGGAAAATACAGGGAGCAGCAGTGAAGATTTTTATTGACGGAGGAGCAAGTCACAGCTTAGTTAATACCGCAACCGCACGAAAATTACAGTTAACACTTAACCGATGCTTACCTGAGATAGACGCACGCTTAGTCGACGGAACACCACTGGCCATACGGGAAAAGGTGGAGCGCGTAAAAGTTTGCAGCGGAGGGAACTTCGGGTTTACACAGGAAATGCTCGCAACGACACTGGATGGGCACGACATTGTATTGGGACGTGATTGGCTGCGACGGTATAACCCACGAATTGACTGGACGACGGGTAGCTGCACAGTGCGAAGTAGTGGTAACTGGGTCGTCCTACCTCGTTGGCAACCACCCGAGTCTTCGACTGTCCAGGTCAACGCCATCACAATGAAACGGGCTGTCGCTGCTGGAGCTGACGTGTACGCAGTGGATATCGCATTAGTCGAAAAAGAGGAGCAGCCGAGTGATTTTCAGAAACTGTTGGCAGCCGTACCGCCGGAACTACAGGCACTACAGAAACGGTTCCCGGGTATCTTCCCGGATGACTTACCGCAAGGACTGCCACCTCAGCGGGCACATGACCATAGGATCGAGTTAGAGCCGGGGGCACAGCCAACCGTACAGCGCCAATTTTGACTGACACAGCCCGAGCTCGTCGAACTAAGGAAGCAGTTAGATTACCTGCTAGAGAAGCAGTTCATCCGACCGAGCTCGTCACCGTTCGCCGCACCGATACTGTTCACACCGAAAAAAGACGGAGGGTTTCGAATGTGCATCGACTACCGAGCGCTTAACAGGGTAACGGTCAAATCACGATACCCCATCCCTCGCGCCGACGAACTAATCGACCAGCTGCGAACCGCACGAGTATTTTCGAAAATAGACTTACGGGGGGGTTACCATCAAATTCGGGTCGAACCATCGGACAGCGCCAAGACAGCATTTAGGACTAGGTATGGGTCATTCGAATACACGGTGATGCCTTTCGGGCTGACCAACACGCCCGCAACATTTCAGATGACCATGAACGAGGCATTTAGGCCACTTTTAGATAAATGCGTCATAGTTTACCTCGACGACATCCTCGTTTACAGTCGGGACCAGCAGCAGCACTTAGTCGATCTCGAAGCACTTTTTAAAATTTTAGAGGAACATCGGTTACTCACCGAAGGCTCCAAGTGCGAGTTTTTTCGTGACAGACTAGAGTTTTTAGGTCACGTCATTTCGGAGGCTGGGGTTGAGATTGACCCTAAAAAGCTGGATACGGTAAAAGCGTGGCGTCCCCCGACGAACATCACGGAACTGCAGAGTTTTTTAGGATTTGTTAATTACGTTCGTCGGTTCGTCCCCGACATGGCACGTTTAACAGCCCCGCTCACGGATTTACTGCGCAAGGGGGTGCCGTTTACGTGGGGGGAGAAAGAGCATGCTGCCTTCTCTGCCCTAAAAAATGTTCTCTGTTCACCACCCATCCTACGCATCGCTGACCCACACCGCCCCTTCGAGTTGGTTACCGACGCGAGCGACATCGCCATCGGAGCTGTACTGTTACAGGACTTCGGCAACGGCCTCCAACCCATCGCTTACGAATCACGCAAGCTCCATCCACCTGAGCGAAATTACCCGATACACGACCGCGAAATGCTTGCGATCGTGCATGCATTCAAAGTGTGGCGCTGCTACTTGACCGGCGCAGACGTGACAGTACGGACAGTCCATCGATCCCTACAGTACCTTCGCGCACAGCCCCACCTCAACCCACGACAGATTCGGTGGCTCGATTTCCTCGAGTCGAATTTTCACTACACAGTCACCTACAAAAAGGGAGCCTCGAATATCGCTGACGCACTGACCCGCCCCAATGCCCAAATCCACGCGATACTACTCACCCAGACCAGCCCATTACTGACAGGACTATTTACCCACGGATATCAAACTGACCCGTTCTTCACAGGAGGAAATTCACAGCAATTCGCAGCAGCCAAGGGAGTCTATTACGTAAAAACCGGAACCGACCGCATCTGGGTACCAGGATACACGCTACTACGGGAGCTACTGTTACAGGAAGCACACGACGGAATTACCTCGGGACATTTCGGAGTAGAAAAAACACGGCAGCAACTGCAGCGGTACTACTACTGGCCGGAAATGTTGACCGACGTGCAACGACACGTGGCATCGTGTCCCACTTGCCAGCTCATGAAGTCAAGCAGGAAGCGGCCGGCGGGACAATTGCAGCCGATCCCACCCCCAGAGCGTGCTTGGCAGCAAGTGACGATGGACTTCGTCACGGGGTTACCGGCCGGGGCAAGTGGGAATGATGCGATCCTGGTCGTCGTCGATCGACTGACGAAAATGGCACACTTCGCAGCCTGCAAGAAATCAATCACAGCCGAGGAAACAGCCCGCCTCTTCATCTCGACCGTCGTTCGACTACACGGGATACCAGCATCGATCATTAGCGACAGAGACACGAAGTTTACAAGCAACTTCTGGCGGAACCTGTGGCAGCAGTTTGGCATGCGACTGCAATTCAGCTCATCCTACCACCCCGAAACCGACGGACAGACAGAACGGACAAACCAGACCATGGAGCAGCTGATTCGAGCCACGTGCGACGATCCGAACACGTGGGAACAGCAGCTGCCTCTCATCGAGTTTGCGTACAACAACGCGCCATCCGCCACGACCCAACAGTCGCCATTTTACTTGAACTACGGACAGGACCCAACAGTACCCATGACACCGAATCCTGACAATCCCGTTCCACGCGCACAACAGTTCGCCGAGATTCTGCAAGCAGCACGAACCAGGGCAGCAGAAGCAATTAAAAAATCAAATATCATCGCTAAACGCAACGCCGATCGCCACCGCAGACCCGTCACTTATCAGCCCGACGACCTTGTGTTACTCGACACTCAAAACCTCCGCCTGCCCATCACTCCCAAACTCCGCCCTCGATACTGTGGGCCATTTCGAATTAGCCACATGATCACACCCGTCACTGCGCACCTCCTCCTCCCTGCTGACTGGTACGTCAGCCCCTCGTTCCACGTCAGTCTGCTTTGCCCGTACGTCCCATCCACCAGCCAACTCCCACGACATCGGCCATCCAGCATGACACGACCACCAACCGAACCAGTCATCACCCCCGAAAAAATCTTGAGCCACAGAGTTCGTGACCCTCGCGGAGCCCGAAAAGTTGAGTTTCTGATCCGCTGGAAAGATCGTACACCCACCGAGGACAACTGGGTTCCCCTGGACAGAATTGAAAACCACCCCGTCCTCACCGAGTACCTGCGCAGCCGAAACTTCAAAGATGTCCACGCACTTTCGTAAACGGGACCTCCTTAGGGGGGGGGGGGGTAGTGTAAGGAAAATCCATTTTCCTTACTTCGCATCCCTGCTCATCGCGTACATCACTGTAGCACCTCAGTCAGCATTGTTACCACTCGCGACCATCGCATCGACACACATCCCGCGATTTTCGCACATCGCACCCCGACCTCACGGCTCGGCGGGTAACCCGCGCTCCGGGCCTACGCTTCGACATATTTCCCAACCTCAGTCCCAGGTTTGTCGCGCGACAACCACAGTTCATTACCGTTACCACTGTAGTTTCGCTATATATTCTTCGCTCATGCCTTCGCTCATTGTACTCTTGCTTCGATAGTGCAATTCTCGTTCGTTCACTCAATTGCACTCGTAACAAGGGGGAATGATGTGGTCGATGACGGGACATGTATGCAGTTGGTACAAGAGATGAGAAATAATGCATTATATTGTCGGTCACATATATCAAAAAATTATTTCCAGCGAAACAACACTGCAGCACCGCTTATTAGCCATTATTGCCCGAGTCAAAGTATTTTCATCCCTAGTCTTCAGTCGTGGAACTTCCTTTGCGCCGCGCACTCGTTCTTCACCCGATCCCAGTTCCGCTGCACCAGAAACTTCATGTTCTTCATTCCAACCAGATTGTACTCAAACGTTTCCCCGCGGTCATTCTGACCCGGTTTCGTCGTACCAACGTCGTACGAGCACTTGTCCGCATTCTCTTCGCCGCTATCGTCCATCCACCCGTTCGCAGCATCCGGGTCGGTTGCTGCTTCCGCAATTTCATGAGCGATGGTAGAAACCGTCGCGTCGATCGCAGGGTTCCCGTTGGGCGACGTGCTCTGCGCCCCGCAACCGTCGGGGCACTGCCCATGATGCCCCACGAACGAATACACAACCGGGTTTTCTCCGATATAGTCCATGGTGTGCCATCCGCAATAATCGCTACAGTAACCGGGGACGGTAACATCCTCGCTAGAAAGGAGTAAATAAATACCACTCGCGTCGTACGCAAACGCCTTCCCATCGCCAATGTTGCTCGAAACCACTGCGACAGAAAGAGGGCATGGAATGGCTTCGATTGTGACAGAAACGAGTTCTGACATCTCCTTAGTAAAGATGGCGCATAGATGCGAATAAACAGCGGCGGATAACTTTGAATGCCGGAACGGCAAACCCCTTCTCCCCCCTTCCCCACACTCCCCTTCCCTCTCTATCTCGGAAACCACAAAGCATGTCGCACGGTACCGTTCCAGACTGTGCCGTCGGCAAAACTCTTTCCCGCTGAGTAGTTGTCGTAGACGGTCCCCGCGAGGCGCACCTGGGATAAAACCGAGCAAGTTTGTGAGTTGAGAAATAAAGATGAAAGCGAATATCGAGGGTTGTGTGCTTGCAATGACCCTAATCTCGATGTTCAATGTTCGATTGAGCGGATGACCCAATCATCCAGGTCGCGTTGGGCCAACCGTTCGATTCCAGCAAAAACGATTCCTCGGTACGAGGCGACATTCCCTCCTGACGCTCCGCGTGTTGCGACGAACCTTCGTGCTGACGTTCGTCGGCGCGCCATCCACCTGTTGCGTGTACGCCGTGCTGATCGCCCACCAGCGCTTCACCTTGGGCTCTGCAGGATCCCCCTGCCGCTTCGAGTCCTTGCTCAGCGACTTGATGAAATTCTCGATCACTTTCTGCCCCGAACCTTCCGGCCAGCTGCCGTAGTAGATGATGTACACGTTGACGGACGGGTTTCCGGTCATCACGGGCCCGCCTAGGTATTTGATCGGAGCGCTTGAAGTGTCGCTCCCGGATTCGCCCTTTTCGCGCTCTTCCTTCTCGTGATGCGCCTTCGTTTCGAACATGTGGAGAGGCGGGCGCCCAGGGCGCTCTTCGATGTCGTTCAGCTGGCGCTGACGGCGGTACTCCTCGTGCGCCTGGCGCGTGCGCGCGACTCCGCGCTTAGGTGGACCGGCGGATGCGAGGGAGAGCAGCAAAAGGCAGACGAGGGATAGGAGAACGAGCTGCATGGAGGTGTCCGTGAGTTTCGCCATTGCGTCGCTGGTGGGAGACGTTCTTCAAGGCACGAATAACTAGGAGTATCGATGATAGGCGCCGGATTTCCCAGGTTCAGTTTTTTTAGCGCAGTTTGGGGTGATTTCACCGTCAGATCGGACTCGAATTGCTCTCCTGATTATCAACCTGAGGATGACCTGCGGTCGTGGAACTTTCTGCGGACCTAGGTCTCGAAACGGTTCTGAAATTGGTGAGCACAAGACGCGAGAGGCAGGCGACCGAGAAAGGAACGAATGCTGGTAAGAAGTGCCGAAATGAGGCCCTTATACCTCTCTGAGCACTGGAGGCGCTCTGGTTGCCGGCGACGTCGCTGCCGTTCGAATTCCCACAATTATTGCTCTGACTCTGGTACATCTCTGGTTCTTGATAAAAACATGTTCTTGCAGTGTTTGTCTGCTTGTCTGTTCTGGAGTGCAATGTCCAATAATTTCGCGACTCGATTTCCTCCAGAGTGTTCAGGTTGAATGGACGACGAATCCGCAATTTCGCGACTCGATTTCGTCGAGTGAGTTGAGTTCTGAAGAACGTCGTGAATTGGTGAGTTGGTGGGTTCCTCAGCTCTACTGTATTTCCAAGTACTGTACAGCAGCGAGCTCGATATGCAATAGAACATGCACCAAACAAAAGTATAAAAATGTTGGTCCAAGGTTACAGCCTCAACGAGTGTCCCTTTGTCGAGTCACTTTATATCGGAAATTTTGAATTGTTGTTACTCAACTGCTATCCTCAGCTCGAAATCGCCGCAATTCGCGCAGGGCGAGTAGACGGCGATAGGTTCGAGTGACGGTTCTCGAACATCCCTTTTAGATAGACTAAAAGTTCGCCTTAGCCGGTTTGTGAATCCCAGCTGCCACGTCAGCATCATGGCAGCTATCAGTGCCACCCTGCCAGCAGCCATTCACAGCTCAGTTTCACTTCGCTGCGACGCGGCTTTCAACCCGCGCCGCGTGTACCCCGACGTCTCCCTTCCAAGGACGCGCCTCGTTGCGAGGACCTCCCGTAGTTCGTCCGTCACCGCATCTTCTCCCTCGAATTCGGGTAGTTTCGTCGCTTATCCATCCTCACTACCTCCCCCCTCCCGCTCCCCACCCGTCTTGTTGCGCATCGTCTTCCTCGAATTCAGGTAACTTGGCCGCCTTTCAACCCCCCTCCTCCTCCTCCCCCTCCCCCTCGAATACAGGTGATTTCGTCACTACTCCAACCTCCCCGCCCCGCCTCACCCTTATCTCTTTCCCCTCCTCCTCGCCCCTCATCCCCCCACGATAAGCCCCCTTTCCGTCGCCAACCCGCCCTTTCACCCGCCTATCCGCGGACCCCTTTTCCGCTGCGCCCCCGCCGCTCCGCACTGCGCTGCTCCCAGCCTCCTGTTCGCACCGCGCTGCCCTCTTTCTCCCTTCCCCCCCACCCACCCCTCCCCCCCTCAGGGGCCCATCAAAAGCATTCACCAATTTTGAAACCCTGAAACAGGAATCACCATTTTTGTCATTCGCAAGCCCAGTCTGCTCTTTGCTCTGCTTTCCTTCGCTCTGCCCTGCCCCCTCACTCACCCACACACCCACCCACCCACACACCCGCCCATCCCCCCACCCCCTCCCCTCTTCCCCCCCGCCCCACCTGTCCAGCCCCCTCCTCCCCTCCCACTCTTCCCGAGCCGCTCATTCCTCTCGGCCAATCAGAGCTGCGTGTGTCACCGCTGGGAATCGGCACACTCCAATGGGGCGATCCGCGGTCGGGCTTCGGTGAACAGTACTCCGCTGCTGACCTGGCAGAGGCCTTCCGGGCGGCGCTGGCGGGCGGCATCAACCTGTTTGATTCTGCAGAGGTGTTCGCTAGGTTCAAACTCCTGAGCAGACTAGTCGATTACATGCTGTTACATTTCGATTATTGAGAACATTTCTGTTACATGCTAATATGAAGTCCCTTCCTGGCCCTGCACCCCGTCTCCCACCTATGTCGACTTCATTCTCCTCGACTCTTCCCCCCCTGCATCCCCCCTATCCCCCTTTCGTACCCCTCCTCTTTCCCCGCTTTCCCCCCTCCCTCCTCCCCTCGCAGGTCTACGGCTACCAAAGCATCCCAACCGGCTTTTGAGGCGCCTCAGAAGACCTCTTTCCCCTCTTTCCCCTCCTACCCCTCCTCTTCCCCCTCTTCCCCCTCTTCCCCCTCTTTCCCCCTCCCTCCTCCCCTCGCAGGTCTACGGCTACCAAAGCATCCCAACTGGGAACTCCTCCGAGCAGCTTCTGGGAAGGTTCGTGGCGGAGGAGAAGGCGAGAAGGCTCCAGGAGGGGAGCGACAGCTCGCAGTCCCCGGCGCCTGTAGCAGCCTCCAAGTTCTTCACCATTCCCTGGACCAACCTGCTCGTGGGTGCGTGCAGCCTCTGAAGCCCCAGGGTGGGAGTTCCTTGCACCTGTAGCCTGCTCCCTGCCCCTGCACCTGTAGCGGCCTCCAAGTTCTTCACCATTCCCTGGACCAACGTGCTCGTGGGTACGTGCGGGATGTCTGTGTGCATGCCCAGCCCGGCTGGGGGCTGCGCTGCGCCTCAGAGTCTCGGCAATTGGGAGTGAGGAGTCTAAGGCAGTCCCTTCCCGGTGCCTGTAGCGGCCTCCAAGCTCTTCACCATCCCGTGGACCAACGTGCTCGTGGGTACGTCTGGGCGATGCATCATGTAAGCACACACGTCAAGCCCGGTTGAGGGATGCGATAGCTCGCACTCCCCTGCTGCGCCTGTCGCAGCCACCAAATTCTGGGACCAACCTCTCCGCCAGTCGCCGTTTGCAGAGACAATGTGTCCCTCCCTCTCCCTCTCCCTCTCCCTCTCCCTCTCCCTCTCCCTCTCCACCACCCGCCAATCCTCAAATGCGTCGCCCCCATGCCAGGTGGCGGGCTGCGATTCGGCCGCCAGTCGCTGATAGATGCTCTCAAGGCGAGCCTGCAGCGCCTCGGCATGGAGCGAGTTGATCTCTACCAGGTGTGACCTGCACCAGGTGGAACCTGCACCAGGTATCACCTGCACCAGGTAGCACCTGCACCATTTGCTGCCTCCGCCAACACGACGTATGGTGAGCCATATGACAACTGCGGAAGAACGTAAGTCATATGCTGACGGCATTGTGTTACCTAAGATGCGATTGTGTCATCTAGATGGACGGGCCATGCCCTTCCGTGCATCTCCCCCTTCCGTGCATCTCCCCCTTCCGTGCATCTCCCCCTTCCGTGCATCCCCCCCTTCCGTGCATCTCCCCCTTCCATGCATCTCCCCCTTCCATGCATCGCCCCCTTCCGTGCATCGCCCCTATCCCCTTGCCTGTCAAATCGACTTCCCCTTCACCACCATGGGCAACACCACTCTAATGGGCGGGTTCAAGCAGGCGCATGCAGAGGGCTTGTCACCACCTCCCCTCCTTTCCCCTCGTCCTGTTCCCTTCCATCCACTCCCTTCCCGAGCAGACCCACTTCCCCTTCCCCTCCATCAGCCAGCAACACCACTCTAATGGGCTTGTAACGCTCAAGCAGGCAGGCACATACCGAGGGCTTGTAACCACCTCGCCTCCTTTCCCCTCTCCCTGTTCCCTTCTGCCCCTCCCGAGCATGTAATCTCCCCCATGTAACGCCACCATGTAATCTCCTCCCCCATGCCTCTCCCCCCACCATGTAATCTCCTCCCCCATGCCTCTCCCCCCACCGTGTAATCTCCTCCCCCATGCCTCTCGCCCCTTCCCTCCACTCCCTTCCCTGGCAGATCCACTTCCCCTTCCCCACCATCAGCAACGCCACGCTAATGGACGGGCTGAAGCAGGCGCATGCAGAGGGGCTGGCCACGGCTGTGGGGGTGTCCAACTATAACACACAGCAGGTAGAGTTTGGGGGGAGAGCGAGGGTTTGTAGCCTGTAGGTTTAGGTGTGATGCTTTGCTGGTCGACCTGACACGAGTACGAGTGCATGCTTTATAACACAAGCGTGCTTGGCGCGAACACAAGGTTTTCTGCCTAATACGTGGCTCTCAAGTGGACGAATGCAGAGGGGCTGGCCACGGCTGTTGGTGTGTGGAGCTATAGCACACAGCAGGTAGTGATTGGAGGTAGAGTTAGGGGGGTGTAGAGTGGGTAGAAGGAGCGGGTGATGGTGGGTGAGAAGGCACGGCTGTTGGTGTGTGGAGCTATAGCACACAGCAGGTAGTGACTGGGGAGAGAGTGAGGGTTGGTAGGAGTGGGTGATGTTGGGATCTTGAGAACTTGCAAAATATAACACACCACAGGTAGCGAGGTGACTTTTGAGTCGACTCAAAAGTCACTTGGAAAATATGACACAACACAGGTAGTGCTGGGGGAGAGAGCAGTGTTGGTAGGTAGCAGCAGGTTCACATGCATAGGAGCAGGACAGAGCTGTTGGTGTCGCGGAGTAAAACTAAAGCATGCATGCGGCAGGTAAATCTGGAGAAGATGAGGCCAACTCTCCAAGACGACGTATCTTCTGTCTTCCTTCGCTTCCCTCCCTTCCCTCAGTCCACTTTCCAGATCCTTTGCCATTGAGCGTGTTTTTTGAGAATTCTCAAAACACGCTCAGATCCTGTGCCATTGATCGCTCAGATCCTGTGCCAATGATCGCTCAGATCCTGTGCCATTGATCGCTCAGATCCTGTGCCATTGATCGCTCAGATCCTGTGCCATTGATCGCTCAGATCCTGTGCCATTGATCGCTCAGATCATGTGCCAATGATCGCTCAGATCCTGTGCCATTGATCGCTCAGATCCTGTGCCATTGATCGCTCAGATCCTGTGCCATTGATCGCTCAGATCCTGTGCCATTGATCGCTCAGATCCTGTGCCATTGATCGCTCAGATCCTGTGCCATTGATCGCTCAGATCCTGTGCCATTGATCACTCAGATCCTGTGCCATTGATCGCTCAGATCCTGTGCCATTGATCGCTCAGATCCTGTGCCATTGATCGCTCAGATCCTGTGCCAATGATCGCTCAGATCCTGTGCCATTGATCGCTCAGATCCTGTGCCATTGATCGCTCAGATCCTGTGCCATCGATCGCTCAGATCCTGTGCCATTGATCGCTCAGATCCTGTGCCAATGATCGCTCAGATCCTGTGCCATTGATCGCTCAGATCCTGTGCCATTGATCGCTCAGATCCTGTGCCATTGATCGCTCAGATCCTGTGCCATTGATCGCTCAGATCCTGTGCCATTGATCGCTCAGATCCTGTGCCAATGATCGCTCAGATCCTGTGCCATTGATCGCTCAGATCCTGTGCCATTGATCGCTCAGATCCTGTGCCATTGATCGCTCAGATCCTGTGCCATTGATCGCTCAGATCCTGTGCCATTGATCGCTCAGATCCTGTGCCAATTGATCGCTCAGATCCTGTGCCATTGATCGCTCAGATCCTGTGCCATTGATCGCTCAGATCCTGTGCCATTGATCGCTCAGATCCTGTGCCATTGATCGCTCAGATCCTGTGCCATTGATCGCTCAGATCCTGTGCCATTGATCGCTCAGATCCTGTGCCATTGATCGCTCAGATCCTGTGCCATTGATCGCTCAGATCCTGTGCCATTGATCGCTCAGATCCTGTGCCATTGATCGCTCAGATCCTGTGCCATTGATCGCTCAGATCCTGTGCCATTGATCGCTCAGATCCTGTGCCATTGATCGCTCAGATCCTGTGCCATTGATCGCTCAGATCCTGTGCCATTGATCGCTCAGATCCTGTGCCATTGATCGCTCAGATCCTGTGCCATCGATCGCTCAGATCCTGTGCCATTGATCGCTCAGATCCTGTGCCAATGATCGCTCAGATCCTGTGCCATTGATCGCTCAGATCCTGTGCCATTGATCGCTCAGATCCTGTGCCATTGATCGCTCAGATCCTGTGCCATTGATCGCTCAGATCCTGTGCCATTGATCGCTCAGATCCTGTGCCAATGATCGCTCAGATCCTGTGCCATTGATCGCTCAGATCCTGTGCCATTGATCGCTCAGATCCTGTGCCATTGATCGCTCAGATCCTGTGCCATTGATCGCTCAGATCCTGTGCCATTGATCGCTCAGATCCTGTGCCAATGATCGCTCAGATCCTGTGCCATTGATCGCTCAGATCCTGTGCCATTGATCGCTCAGATCCTGTGCCATTGATCGCTCAGATCCTGTGCCAATGATCGCTCAGATCCTGTGCCATTGATCGCTCAGATCCTGTGCCATTGATCGCTCAGATCATGTGCCAATGATCGCTCAGATCCTGTGCCATTGATCGCTCAGATCCTGTGCCATTGATCGCTCAGATCCTGTGCCATTGATCGCTCAGATCCTGTGCCATTGATCGCTCAGATCCTGTGCCATTGATCGCTCAGATCCTGTGCCATTGATCGCTCAGATCCTGTGCCATTGATCACTCAGATCCTGTGCCATTGATCGCTCAGATCCTGTGCCATTGATCGCTCAGATCCTGTGCCATTGATCGCTCAGATCCTGTGCCAATGATCGCTCAGATCCTGTGCCATTGATCGCTCAGATCCTGTGCCATTGATCGCTCAGATCCTGTGCCATCGATCGCTCAGATCCTGTGCCATGGATCGCTCAGATCCTGTGCCAATGATCGCTCAGATCCTGTGCCATTGATCGCTCAGATCCTGTGCCATTGATCGCTCAGATCCTGTGCCATTGATCGCTCAGATCCTGTGCCATTGATCGCTCAGATCCTGTGCCATTGATCGCTCAGATCCTGTGCCAATGATCGCTCAGATCCTGTGCCATTGATCGCTCAGATCCTGTGCCATTGATCGCTCAGATCCTGTGCCATTGATCGCTCAGATCCTGTGCCATTGATCGCTCAGATCCTGTGCCATTGATCGCTCAGATCCTGTGCCAATGATCGCTCAGATCCTGTGCCATTGATCGCTCAGATCCTGTGCCATTGATCGCTCAGATCCTGTGCCATTGATCGCTCAGATCCTGTGCCATTGATCGCTCAGATCCTGTGCCATTGATCGCTCAGATCCTGTGCCATTGATCGCTCAGATCCTGTGCCATTGATCGCTCAGATCCTGTGCCATTGATCGCTCAGATCCTGTGCCATTGATCGCTCAGATCCTGTGCCATTGATCGCTCAGATCCTGTGCCATTGATCGCTCAGATCCTGTGCCATTGATCGCTCAGATCCTGTGCCATTGATCGCTCAGATCCTGTGCCATTGATCGCTCAGATCCTGTGCCATTGATCGCTCAGATCCTGTGCCATCGATCGCTCAGATCCTGTGCCATTGATCGCTCAGATCCTGTGCCAATGATCGCTCAGATCCTGTGCCATTGATCGCTCAGATCCTGTGCCATTGATCGCTCAGATCCTGTGCCATTGATCGCTCAGATCCTGTGCCATTGATCGCTCAGATCCTGTGCCATTGATCGCTCAGATCCTGTGCCAATGATCGCTCAGATCCTGTGCCATTGATCGCTCAGATCCTGTGCCATTGATCGCTCAGATCCTGTGCCATCGATCGCTCAGATCCTGTGCCATTGATCGCTCAGATCCTGTGCCAATGATCGCTCAGATCCTGTGCCATTGATCGCTCAGATCCTGTGCCATTGATCGCTCAGATCCTGTGCCATCGATCGCTCAGATCCTGTGCCATTGATCGCTCAGATCCTGTGCCAATGATCGCTCAGATCCTGTGCCATTGATCGCTCAGATCCTGTGCCATTGATCGCTCAGATCCTGTGCCATTGATCGCTCAGATCCTGTGCCATTGATCGCTCAGATCCTGTGCCATTGATCGCTCAGATCCTGTGCCATTGATCGCTCAGATCCTGTGCCATTGATCGCTCAGATCCTGTGCCATTGATCGCTCAGATCCTGTGCCATTGATCGCTCAGATCCTGTGCCATTGATCGCTCAGATCCTGTGCCAATGATCGCTCAGATCCTGTTCCATTGATCGCTCAGATCCTGTGCCAATGATCGCTCAGATCCTGTGCCATTGATCGCTCAGATCCTGTGCCATTGATCGCTCAGATCCTGTGCCATTGATCGCTCAGATCCTGTGCCATTGATCGCTCAGATCCTGTGCCATTGATCGCTCAGATCCTGTGCCATTGATCGCTCAGATCCTGTGCCATTGATCGCTCAGATCCTGTGCCATTGATCGCTCAGATCCTGTGCCATTGATCGCTCAGATCCTGTGCCAATGATCGCTCAGATCCTGTGCCATTGATCGCTCAGATCCTGTGCCATTGATCGCTCAGATCCTGTGCCATTGATCGCTCAGATCCTGTGCCATTGATCGCTCAGATCCTGTGCCAATGATCGCTCAGATCCTGTTCCATTGATCGCTCAGATCCTGTGCCAATGATCGCTCAGATCCTGTGCCATTGATCGCTCAGATCCTGTGCCATTGATCGCTCAGATCCTGTGCCATTGATCGCTCAGATCCTGTGCCATTGATCGCTCAGATCCTGTGCCATTGATCGCTCAGATCCTGTGCCATTGATCGCTCAGATCCTGTGCCATTGATCGCTCAGATCCTGTGCCATTGATCGCTCAGATCCTGTGCCATTGATCGCTCAGATCCTGTGCCATTGATCGCTCAGATCCTGTGCCATTGATCGCTCAGATCCTGTGCCATTGATCGCTCAGATCCTGTGCCATTGATCGCTCAGATCCTGTGCCATTGATCGCTCAGATCCTGTGCCATTGATCGCTAAGATCCTGTGCCAATGATCGCTCAGATCCTGTGCCATTGATCACTCAGATCCTGTGCCATTGATCGCTCAGATCCTGTGCCATTGATCGCTCAGATCCTGTGCCATTGATCGCTAAGATCCTGTGCCAATGATCGCTCAGATCCTGTGCCATTGATCCCTCAGATCCTGTGCCATTGATCGCTCAGATCCTGTGCCATTGATCGCTCAGATCCTGTGCCATTGATCGCTCAGATCCTGTGCCATTGATCGCTCAGATCCTGTGCCATTGATCGCTCAGATCCTGTGCCATTGATCGCTCAGATCCTGTGCCATTGATCGCTCAGATCCTGTGCCATTGATCGCTCAGATCCTGTGCCATTGATCGCACCTGCTACTCCCCTCCCACTTCCTTTTTGCTCGCCCTCTACCTCTCCCCTCCCCCCCACCAGCTTGAGAAGGCGCATTCCCTTCTCAGAGCAGCAAGGTGGCTTTTGGATCAATCCAATAGTCACCCTTCTGCTCCCTTCCTTATCCCGGCCGACCCCCCACCAACACTCCTGCCCCCCTTTCATCCCACCAGCTGCAAGAGGCGCATTCCCTTCTCAAAGCGGCCAGCATCCCCCTGGCCTCCAACCAAGTCAAGTTCAAGTGAGCGCATTTTGAATTCACTGGGGCATCGACTTGAGCATGGGAATATCCTGACATGAATCGCACGTGTAATCACAGAATTCAGTTTTGTTGCATGGAATCAGAAAGCCGAAATACCCATGTGACTTTCGAGTCGACTCAGAAGCCACCAGGAAACAGTTAGCAAAAAATTCCCATGCTCACGTCTGTTTGTTGAGTCAATTATTTTCACGGTAGGAGTAATCTGAAAGTGAGGCAGATTTGTGCCTGTAGCGCTGCCCCCTCTTTTCCTCACCTTCCCCTCTCACCTATGTCTCCTCTCCTCTCCTCTCCTCTCCTCTCCTCTCCTCTCTTCCAACACTCCTCTCCCTCACCAACCATCCCTTTCTCTCTACCCTTCGTCCCTCGTCCCTCCCTACCCCACCCCCCCTTGCACATCACACCAGCCTGTTGGACCGAGGTACAGAGACTAGCGGCCTGCTGCAGGCGTGCAAGGTGGGCAGTGGGGGGATGCGGGGAGGGGGGCGAGTGGGGGGATGCGGGGAGGGGGGCGAGTGGGGGGAGCAGAGGGCGGGTCACGGACACAGGGGATAACAGTCACAGGGCACTGCAACACGTCGCACCAGCCTACTGGACCGAGGTACAGAGACCAGCGCCATGCTGCACGCATGCAAGGTGGGCAGTGAGCGGGGTGGGAGGGAGGGCTCAGTGGGGGGAGTGTGGGGTGTTTCACAACCACAGGGAACGAAATTATAGTGCAGGATGCTTTTGAGAATTCTCAAAGTCATTGTGTACGAGCCTCACTGCACTGCACTCATGCAAGGTGAGCAACAAGCCTCATGGTGGTGCTGGGGAGCAGTGAAGGGGGGGAGAGCGAGGGGATGGGGGGGGGGGCAGTGAGCGGGAGGGGGGCATGGGGTGGTTTGGCCACGTGTTGATCATTTAGGGCATGTTTTTTTGCAATGGGATGGCGGTGGCATGAGTTGCGCAGTTCAGTTCTCATCATCCACATCATCCACGTCATCCACATCATCCACGTCATCTACATCATCCACATCATCCACGTCATCCACGTCATCCACGTCATCCACGTCATCCACATCATCCACATCATCCACGTCATCCACGTCATCCACATCATCCACATCATCCACATCATCCACGTCATCCACGTCATCCACATCTCCTTAATCCCCATCCCCGTTGCCCCCTCATACCCCTTTCCAACCTCACACACACTATCCCCAATCTTTCCCCCCACCCTCTCCCCCAACCCCTCCCCTCCCTCCCCTCCCCCCCCCCCCCCCCCCAGTCTCAGCACCTGCAATCGTCACTCTTGCCTTACTCGCCCCTGACATGCCCCATCCGCTGCCCGCCTCCCCTCCTCCCCACCTCCTCCCCATCCTCCCCCCTGTCCCCACTCCCACCATGCCAGGACCTGCAAGTGTCGCTCATAGCCTACTCGCCCCTGGCATCAGGCCTGCTCACAGACAAGGCCCTCACACGCTCAGACAAGGACGCCGTGCGGGTGAGAGCGACTTTTGAGCTTCAAACCCTTAGTGGCCTGGCATGTGCTGTGCTGCCAGTGCCTGCGTGTGCACCACTCGCCCCTGGCAACCGGCCTGCTCACGGACAAGGCTCTCACGAGCTCAGACAAGGATGCTGTGCGGGTGAGTGGGGGTGGGGTGGGGGGAGGAGGGAGAGATGAATGGGAGAGCTTGGCCTGTGCTGTGCTGCTGGTGCCTGCCTGTGCCCTACTCACCACTCGCATCCGACCTGCTCATGGATCCACGTGTAAGAAGAGCATTTTTGAGACGTCTCAAAAATACTCTTTTCACAAGAGCTTGGCCTGTGCTGTTCTGCCAGTGCCTGCCTGTGCCCTACTCGCCCCTGGCAACTGGCCTGCTCACGGACAAGGATCTCACGCGCTCAGGCAAGGACGCCGTGAGGGAGAGTGGGGACGGGAGCAGGGGCAAGCGTGAATGAGTGAGAGTGAGGTGGGATGGGGGGGGGGGGGGTAAAGGGAAGAGCGTGAGGGTCGTATTTGCTGCTCACAGACAAGAATGCCGTGCGGGTGAGTGGGAGCTTTAGAGTGGCGACCCCTTAGTTAGTGACCAGGCGTATCTTGTGATGTGCTGCTGCTGCCCCTTTGCTCTCTCTACTCGCACCTTGCATCGGACCTGCTCACAGACAAGGCTCTCACAGATGGGGTTGAGTGAGGGGAGAAGGAGGGGAGGGGTGGTTGAGAGCGAGAAGCCTCAAACGAAGGAAACGGATAGAAAGCTGCAAGCTCGGTTGACCGACCTAACTAATCGGCTTTGTGGGCCTTCATCGGCGTTTCAAGGAGGGGAGGGGTGGTTGAGAGCGAGAAGCCTTAGCGGGTGAGGGGCGCACAGGCAAGGATGCCATGTGGGTGAGGGGCGCACAGGCAAGGATGCCATGTGGGTGAGGGGCGCACAGGCAAGGATGCCATGTGGGTGAGGGGCGCACAGGCAAGGATGCCATGTGGGTGAGGGGCGCACAGGCAAGGATGCCATGTGGGTGAGGGGCGCACAGGCAAGGATGCCATGTGGGTGAGTGGCGCACAGGCAAGGATGCCATGTGGGTGAGGGGCGCACAGGCTAGGATGCCATGTGGGTGAGGGGCGCACAGGCAAGGATGCCATGTGGGTGAGGGGCGCACAGGCAAGGATGCCATGTGGGTGAGGGGCGCACAGGCAAGGATGCCATGTGGGTGAGGGGCGCACAGGCAAGGATGCCATGTGGGTGAGGGGCGCACAGGCAAGGATGCCATGTGGGTGAGGGGCGCACAGGCAAGGATGCCATGTGGGTAAGGGGCGCACAGGCGCAAGACATTAAGGGGCCTTCATCATGGCCTACTCCTCGTCCACCATGGCCAACCCCATCACCCCGCTCCTCCTTGAAGCCGATGGCTCTAGCTCCAACTTCAAGGCATGGAGCTACGGGGTTGACAAGCACCTCCTGAGTCATGACGTGCAGGGATTGGACCTCAAGGACGTTCTCCTCAACCGTGGCAAGGGAAAACAACCCCCTTCCCCCCTTGAGCCGACCGAATCCGCTAGTGATACTGACATGAGGGCGTACGAGGAAGCTGTTGAGAAGTACCGGAAATGGGAGAAGGCAGATGCTGCTATCATCAGCGTCTTCATTGCCTCCACCCCTCCCGAACTAGTCAACACGTTCCACAACTACCCTACCTCCAGCGCCATCTGGAAGTACCTCCAGGATCGGTTCATGAACAAAACGGCGGTCGGAGTTGCCATCCTCATCCCCAGCATGTTCCAGGTCCGCCTTGAGGATTGCTCGGGAATGGCTGACTACATCGCCAAGGTGCAGACTATTCATGGCGAACTGAAGAGGCTGGGCATAGTTTTCCCCGAACAAGCCCCTGCAGCCGCCCTTCGTGTTGGTCTCACCTCGGCATATGAAGTAACGAGGAAGATGCTCCTCACGCTCTCAGCGGAAAACCTCACATTTACTAAGGTCTCATCCGCACTCCTCTCTGCTGAGAAAGATTCCACGGCTCAAGCCAAGGCTTACGCCATCCGCGCTCCCATGCCGCAAGCAAGTGTTGCATCGGCCCTCGCCTCGGCGCCCTTCCAGCGCAACTGGTTCCCTCCGTGCACCTATGTCGTCAAGTATGGCAACCGCAATGGACAAATGTGTGGTGGCACTAACCACCCCCTTGCTACGTGCTTCAAGAAGAAAGACGACGAATGGTATGCCATTCACGGAGTGGACAAGAAGCCGCCAAACTGGATGCGCCCTCGTAAGGCCAACCTAGTTGAGGTCCCGGACCCCGCTTCGGCTAGTGCTAGTGATAGTGCTCCTACTGATGTGCGTATCAACCTGCTGTTTCCTGGCACTGCCATGATTAATGAAGCTTCCTCCCAGTACCTCGGCTCATCACAAGCACCACAATACATAGAGTTCACACTCGACAACGGCGCCACACACACTGTACTCAAGGAGACACTCTCCTTCAAACCCTACGCAACACCCATCCCTCTCCTAGGAGCTGACTCAAGCTTCACCACTCATGCCAAGGGTTCATCCACAGTCTCGTGCCCCGCCTTCCCTTCCGCCACTATCACTGGAATGTGTGTGCCTTCACTCTGCCACAATCTCGTGGCCCAAACGGAAATTCAGGAAGCTGGGCTACGCACCATCTTCAGGGAGAACGAGAACTATGGTGATATCCTCGACCCACTCATCAACAAGGTCTTGACTCGTTTCACCCTCAACAGCAGCGGCCTTTACACGCTGCAAGTACCCATCCCACAGGTGTCAACCACCCAAACAGCGGCGACTACCTCACCATGCTCGTGCCGCAGTTACTCCAACCCGACCATACTCTACCACCATCGGCTCGACCACCCAAACTTCCGCACACTTGCTGACATGGCCTCCAAGAAACTTCTACTCGGCCTAACAGCCTCACTTCCTCCACCACCAGACTCCCCCGCTCCCACGTGCCTTGACTGCACCAAGAGCAAACTGCGTCAACAGCCCCACCAGGCCTCACCCTCTGTCGCAGCAAGACCACTGGACCTGGTACACCTGGACGTCTGGGGCCCTGCCCCTGTTCCCGCACGAGGTGGTTATCGCTACTTCCTTGTTATCGTCGATGACCACTCTCGCTACGTCTCTGTTCACCTCCTCCACACTAAGGCTGCGGTTCCAGAGGTCCTCATGGCGTGGGTTAAACAGGCACAGACCGCCTTTGACCGCAAAGTCAAGCGCCTCCACTCAGATGGTGGTGGTGAGTTTTGCAACGACAAGCTCAAAGCCTTCTGCTCCTCAGAAGGCATCCAGCAAAACTTCACCCTCCTGACAGCCCGCAGCAGAACGGCATAGCTGAGAGCCGCAACCACACCCTGGTGCAGATCACTCGGTGCCTCCTTAGCCACTCCAACGCTCCGCACTCTCTCTGGGGGTACGCTCTCTACCACGCCGCCCTCCTCTACAACCTTTACCCCCACCCGCATCTTCCCGACACCACTCCAACCACACTCTGGTTCGGGAAAACGCCCACTGCTCGCTCTCTTCGCGTTTGGGGGTGCACCGCCTATGTCCTCCTCAACCCTCAGGCTCGACGGCAGCACGGCGGCAAGCTCGGTCCCAAGACCCAGACGTGCATCTACCTCGGGCACAACGTCGACTCGCCTGACTACCTCTTCCTCAATCCCTCCACTCAACAGTTGGTCCGGAGCCGCGACGTTGTCTTTGATGAGACCCGCCCATTCTACTCCACTTCGGGACGGGACCCTCTCCCTGATCCACCCTCCCTCGTGTGGGCAGACTTTGATGCGCCCCCTGACCTTCCGCCTGCTCCGGCCCCTTCACCTCCTACCCCTCCTGCCACCGCACCGTCCCCCTCTGAGGTCTCTGACCCGCCCTCACCGGTGTCTTCGGCAACTACTCCTCCATCCCCCTCACTTCCCACTCCGCCGCCTGTGCAGCCACCTCCGAGCGCACCTATCACCTACCATCGACGGTCCCACCCTCCGGCCCCACCTCCTCCCCCGGTTCCCCCCACCACAGAGGAACCCGCTCTCCCACAGTCGCCCGAGCTGATCACGTACCATTGGCGGCCCATTCCCCCGCCCAAGCCTCCTAAGTCAACCCCTCCGACACCTCCTGCCCCACCCTCTTCTCCGGTGGCTCATGGCACTCGTTCGCATGGCGCTGCTCTTCCACTAGCGCTGGTTCTTCGATACAACGGCGATCACACCGCCTCCTCCTGCTGAGGGGGGATGTGCCCTCTACCCTTCCGGAAGACGGGCATGTGGAGGTGTGTGATCTTCATGCAGTCATTCCTCAGCTCTCGCACATCTTCCCCGACATCACTGACTCACCCTCCCTCAACTTCGCGGAGAACCCGACCATCCCTATCCCTCTCACCGTCCAAGAGGCTCTCTCAGGCCCTCATGCTGCCGAATGGCGTGCTGCCATGGAAGCGGAGATTGCAGCATTCACCCACAACCACTCCTTCGACGACGAGACTCCACCTTCAGGAGTCAACATCGTCGGGGGCAAGTGGTTGTTCCGTGTAAAACAGCTCCCAGACAAGGCCCCGGTGTTCAAAGCGCGTTACGTAGCCAAGGGCTTCATCCAGCAGCAGTACCGCGACTTCTTACTAACCTTCTCCCCCACATCCAAACCTCCCACCATTTGTACGCTCATGGATGTCGCAGCTCGAGAAGATTTTGAGATCAAATCCATGGATGCCTCATCCGCCTTCCTACAAGGACGTCTCAAGGCGACAGTGTTCATGGACAGACCAGAAGGCTTCCCAGGAGAATTCCCTCCCAACACTGTCTGAAGCTGAATCGCCCCGTCTACGGCCTTAAGCAAGCCCCTCGCGAATGGCACAACAAGGTGAAAGAAGTCCTCCTCTCCCTGGACTTCCACCCTTCCACTGCTAACCCGACTCTCTTCATGCGCCGTCATTCTGAGCCATTCTACATCCTGGTCTACGTGGATGATTTCATCCTCGTTGCCAAGGACTCAGCCCAGATGACCTCTGTCCAGGCAGCCCTGAGCAAGGCCCTCCAGATGAAAGACCTCGGTGACCTCAAGCACTACCTGGGGATGGAGATCACCCGTGATCGCCAGGCTCGCACCATTTCACTCTCCCATAAGTTCTACATCAACAATGTGCTCAAGCGGTTTGAGATGGAGCTGTGCACACCTGTTGCCACCCCGCTGCCGCTGCATCACCTCCTCACAGCTCCAGCCGTACCCACACCAGAGGCCTGCTCTGAGCCATACCCGGAGCTTGTTGGGTCCCTCATGTACGTCATGATGTGCACCCAACCGGACTTGGCCTATCCTGTCAGTGTCCTTTCTCGCTACGTGGCCCCTGGACGCTTCACTGATCTTCACTAGAAGGCGGCGAAGCGGGTGCTGCGCTATCTTCAGGGCACCAAGTCTCACGTTCTCACACTCGGTGGGCTCTCCCCTCCTCGCCTGGAAGGTTACACTGACTCCTCCTGGGCTGATGACCAGACCGACCGACGCTCCTCTCAGGGGTACTGCTTCACCCTTGGGAGCGGAATTGTCAGTTGGCGCTCCACCAAGTCGTCTGCAGTCTCCCTCTCCTCCTGTGAGGCAGAGCTCTACGCTGGCACCATGGCTGCTCAGGAGGCCCGTTGGCTCACCTTCCTACTCCAGGAGCTTGGTTTCCCACAGTCCGCCCCCACCCTCTGGTGTGACAACCAGAGTACCATCCACATCTCTCAAGACCCTGTGTATTACACCCGCACCAAGCATATTGAACTCCGGCACTTCTTCATCCGTGACCTTGTCCAACAGGAGCAGCTGAAAGTGGAATACGTTGCATCTGACTGCAACCTGGCTGATCTGTTCATCAAGCCCCTTGGGAAAGTTCCCCACCACCGTCTCCTAGGCGCCATGGGGCTTTGTGCACCACCCTCTCTACCCTGAGTTCGATTGACGCCTATGGGGGGGTGTTAGTGTTAGCCTTCAATCTCACACTTTGTACTTTGTATTTTCTATATCCTAGAGTAGTGTAGTTTGCATATTGTGTTTGGTTGGGTGTACACCTACATCCCTACCAAACCCAAATGTAATCTCCAAGCAATCTCCAACCCACCAATTGGAGATTGCCTTGGGATTACCCCCAATCCCTAGGGATTGCCCCCGATTCCCTTCCCCATCCATTCCCTACCCTTCTTGGATGTACTTAAAGAGCTTCAAGCTCATTACTAATGCATCGCTTCTAAGCCTAAGTTCTCACAAAGGATGCCATGTGGGTGAGGGGCGCACAGGCAAGGATGCCATGTGGGTGAGGGGCACACAGGCAAGGATGCCATGTGGGTGAGGGGCGCACAGGCAATGCCATGTGGGTGAGGGGCGCACAGGCAAGGATGCCATGTGGGGGTGAGTGGGACTCCGAGTCGCAAACTCTCAGTCCGCGGCCTGCCCTGGTCTGTGCTGTGCTGCACAAGTCAGTGAACTTGCTTGCGCTGTGCAGCTGCGGCCTGCTTGCGCTGTGCTGCTGCGGCCTGCTTGCGCTGTGCTGCTGCGGCCTGCTTGCGCTGCGCTGCTGTGGCCTGCTTGTGCTCTTGTTGCGCTTGCTTCTGTGCTTCTCACGGACAAGTCCCCCCTGTCCCCCTTCCCCTCCCCTGCTGCTTGCTGCAGGTGCGTCCTTTACTGGAGCTAATGAGGGCGATGGGGGAGGAGAATGGCGGCAAGAGCTTGTGACTTGTGAGTCGACTCCAACGTTCATTGGCTTCTGCCTCATCTCTTCCCCCCCTCTCCCCCCTCCCCTCTTGCTGCTTGCTGCAGGTGCGTCCCTTGCTGGAGCTTATGAGGGCTATCGGGGAGGAGAATGGCGGCAAGAGTGTGTCTCAGGTATGCATGGTGGTGAAAGAAACACTTTGGTAAGTAACTGAGGAACTTCATTGAAACATATAATGTTCCTGGGTAGAGATGACTTTTGACGTCTCAAGAGATGCAGGCAAGAATGACGGTATTGAAATCACTTTTGAGAATGACTGTATTGAAATCACTCTTGAGAATGACTGTATTGAAATCACTTTTGAGAAGGACTGTATTGAAATCACTCTTGAGAATGATTGTATTGAAACCACTCTTGAGAATGACTGTTGAAATCACTCTTGAGAATGACTGTATTGAAATCACTTTTGAGCATGACTGTATTGAAATCACTTTTGAGAATGACTGTATTGAATTGAAATCACTTTTGAGAATGACTGTATTGAAATCACTTTTGAGAATGACTGTATTGATTTTTTTTTTGAGAATGACTGTATTGAAATCACTTTTGAGAATGACTGTATTGAAATCACCTATTGAGAATGACTGCATTGAAATCACTTTTGAGAATGACTGTATTGAAATTACCTATTGAGAATGACTGTATTGAAATCAATTTTGAGAATGACTGTATTGAAATTACTTTTGAGAATGACAGCATTGAAATCACTTTTGAAAATTATTGTATTGAAATCACTTTTGAGAATGACTGTATTGAAATCACTCTCGAGAATGACTGTATTGAAATCACCTATTGAGAATGACTGCATTGAAATCACTTTTGAGAATGACTGTATTGAAATTACCTATTGAGAATGACTGTATTGAAATCAATTTTGAGAATGACTGTATTGAAATTACTTTTGAGAATGACAGCATTGAAATCACTTTTGAAAATTATTGTATTGAAATCACTTTTGAGAAAGACTGTTTTGAAATCACTCTTGAGAATGACTGTATTGAAATCACTTTTGAGAATGACTGTATTGAAATCACTTTTGAAAATGACTGTATTGAAATCACTTTTGAGAATGACTGTATTGAAATCACTTTTGCGAATGGCTGTATTGAAACCACTTTTGAGAATGACTGTACTGAAACCACTTTTGAGAATGACTGTGTTGAAATCACTTTCGAGAATGACTGTGTTGAAATCACTTGTGAACATGACTGTATTGAAGTCACACTCACGAGTCGCAGATTCCTCGAAAATCCCTTTTAAAGGATGTCTTCCCTAATTTTCCTCCCCCTCAACCCCTTCCCTTCCATGTCCCCACCAGGTGGCTTGGCACTGACCGATACCATGTACAGTGCCATGTTTGAGGCGCCTCAAAAGGCACTGACCGAGACCATGTACAGTGCCATGTCCCGGAATTTCTCCCCATCAAGGGTACAAGGGAGCAATCCCCGTCAAGCCTGTTCCTTCCCTTCACACACTCCCCATGTTCCCTCCTCTTCCGTGTCTCATTACCATACAGGTCGCCCTTAACTACATCATGTGCAAGGGTGCCATTCCCATCCCCGGGTACGTTGCAACTTGCTTGCACCTATGTGACCCTCCTCACTCACATCTCTCTGCACTCACAGCCCTATCTTATGTTTCTGCGCTCTTCCCTGATGATGCCTTGTTAAGATTCTTCTTTACTATTGGCTTTTTGCATTCTCAGCTGTTTCTATCTGCTCCAACAAATAATAACAGTTCTACAGATGTCACTCCATATCAGCTGTGATCATTGTTCACTTGCTATGGCCTGGCACAGCAGTGTGACCCTTCACTATTCTCCGGCTTCTTTTTTTCCCTTTTTCTCACTTGCCCCTTTTCCTTTGGTGACACCTGTTCTTTCAGTTTTCTCACATTGCTCCTCTTCCCCTTTCTCAGATTGCTCCTTTTCTCCTTTCTCTTTCCTTCATGTGTATATTTTCTTTTCTTTTATCGTCCCGTCCCATCCACCAACACCAACAGGTGCAAGACAGCAGCGCATTCCACAAGCCACCTGGGCAGCATGGGCTGGCGCCTTACACCAGAGCATGGTAGATATGCTTGCGTTTTAGTGCGGTGGACTGAGGTACTATTAGGTTCAAGGTAGAGCGCAACAGGTGCAAGACAGCAGTGCACTCCACAAGCCACCTGGGAAGCATGGGCTGGCGCCTTTCACCTGAGCATGGTCGATATCTTGCAGTGTAGTGCGGTGTATCGAGGTGCAGTGCGATGCAGGTTAGAGTACACTGTGGTTTATTTCTGTGAAAACTCTAGTGTGGCTCGCTCTCCGCTCTCAGACCACTTTCGTCTCACACACTCACACTCTCTTCTCATACACTCACACTCTCTTCTCATACACTCACACTCTCTTCTCATACACTCACACTCTCTTCTCATACACTCACACTCTCTTCTCATACACTCACACTCTCTTCTCATATACTCACACTCTCTTCTCATATACTCCCACTCTCTTCTCATACACTCACACTCTCTTCTCATGCACTCACACTCTCTTCTCATACACTCACACTCTCTTCTCATACACTCACACTCTCTTCTCATACACTCACACTCTCTTCTCATACACTCACACTCTCTTCTCATACACTCACACTCTCTTCTCATATACTCACACTCTCTTCTCATATACTCCCACTCTCTTCTCATACACTCACACTCTCTTCTCATGCACTCACACTCTCTTCTCATACACTCACACTCTCTTCTCATACACTCACACTCTCTTCTCATATGCTCACACTCTTCTCTCACACACTTAGACTCTCTTCTCATACACCCACACTCTCCTTTCACACACTCACACTCTCTTCTCACACAGTCACACTCTCTTCTGATGCACTCACACTTTTCTCACACACTCACACTCTCTTCTCTTACTCATACTCTCCTCTCATACACTCCCAATCTCTTCTCATACACCCACACTGTTTTCCCATAAATTCTCACTCACTTCTCACACTCACTCCCTTCTCACACTCTGACTCTCTTCTCACCCACTCTTCTCACTCTCTTGTCACGATCTCTCTCTTCTTACACTCACACTCTTCTCATGCAACTCTAACGATCATCCCTCCTCCCTTCCCTCGTCACCTTCCTTATCCACTCATCAACCTCAGAGTGGCACAAGCTCTCAGCATGCCAGCAGCATGTGTATCCATGCAACCTCCAGCAGCATTGATTGCTGTGTCTCACATATCCATGGCATGGCAACTCGGTTTTCTTGAATTTGTGGTGCTTTCTCCGTGCTTTTGCATTCTCCGTGCTTTCCTTTCCCCCCATGGCAGTTTTGGCACTGGAAGAGAAGGCTGAGCAAGTGAGGTGACGGCATTGTCTCTTGGTGATCGGTTGTGCCATACTAATTATGACTTCATTATTCATATGTGTACACTCAGGGCCCAAAATTGGTTTAGGCCTACCCTTACAAATCAGGGTTCCAGCCCAGGGCCCAAAATATCAGGGTAAAACGCCCTGATACCCTGGGGGCCTGGAATCCAAGTGGATAATACAGAGCTACTATTCCTACTACTGTAATTGTAATAGCTCCATTATTGTCTTCCTCCCACCTGGATTTATGACAGACAAAGTCCAGTACTGTTTATCTGCTCCTGAGCAGCAGACAACCAACCACATTTGAGCTGGTATTGCAGAGGTTCATGGTTAGGACGCGGTGAAAGTGCAAATTTCGCAGGATCGTCTGCACATATCGATCCCCGCAATCGATTGGGCAGATCGATTGGCGAGACGTGGCGATCGCGACGTTGTAACGATCGCCACTGAAATTTGATGGATCTCCCGCGATTTGTGATCAGACACATTCACACACTGTCCAAAAAACTGGGCCAAAGAGCGCACTGCAGCATGGTTCCAACGTAGTAAATAGGGTAACCTATCCGCACATCGATCGCGACTGATGATCGATCGTGTACTTGTACCACGTCCTTATACCTTTTTCTTCAACAAGCCAAGCTTTTCTCTTACACTTGCAGAGCTGGGATTCAGGTACGGGTAAGGTGATCTTTGAAACTCATTGTGTGCTGTATAGGGCCAGGTCAGCTCTGAGCGCAAAACCTTTTATATTTACTACAGTTGCACAACAACGCAAGACCAAAACGTGCAAGCGTAAAAAGGCAGGGTCATTCAATCTACAGAGGTCGCAGTGAGGGATAGTCCTCGAGCATGTCGCGCGTTGTGAGTGTGTCCTCCTCATTTTGCGGCGTCCACAGCACCTCCACGGCCTGCCATAATGCACACAGTGTAGCACATGGTGAGCTTACTCCGGCACATGAAGACCGAATGCTCTAAGACAGGTTGACGGTAGAGCATAAACGGGACAGGCAAGAAAGGGATGCTTCTAGTGCATTCTGGTTAGCTGCAGGTCAGATGCAGCTGTCAAAGGTAACTTTTTACTCTGGTTAGTCATACTTCATGTATTAACAGCTCTCTCCACAGCAGTAAGTCTACTCTATCAAGCTTGAAATCACAACCACTCATAACACCCCGTTACAGTCACTCACCTGGAGCTCGTCAGCAGGGATGGACCCTAGGATGGTGAGCGCCTCTCTCAGGTCGGCATTAGATTTAACCTCGGGCAGCACGAAAGTTCCCTCTGTGGCCGCCAGAATGGTGACCTGTCAACACGAACAGCGAGAAAGATCTTAAGATTACAAATGCTTGTGACTCAAGGCAAGAAGAGGCATAAGAAGCAACAGTGAAGAACAGATGAACACACAAAGCTGCAAAAAAAATATTCAAAACCTGGAGAATTAATTACTGTATAGGTGCAACGTACCACAATGTATTCGCTGTTCATTCGCTGCTCGCTGGGCTCGCGCTCCGACCGTTTCCGCATGTCGCCGACATTGACGAGTGTCTCCTCCTTGAACTTGCTGCGCTCGCCCATGCTCAGCCGGTTGAACGCCGCCTCCCCCCCGTACGAGTCATTGGCCGTCTCCGACTGCGCGTATGAGATCAGGGAAAGGGTTGCAGAGAGATGAGATTGAGGTCAGAGAATGGTTTTTGAGCCAACTACAAAACCGACATTGACGAGCGCCTTCTTTTCTGCGCTAGCCCATGCTCAGCCGGTTGAACGCCGCCTCCCCTCCGTACGAGTCGTTGGCCGTCTCCGACTGCGCGGATTAGATCAAGCACACGGTTTGCAAAGCGAGGATATTGTCTACCGTTTTGATGGCGGATGTTTTGCTTTGATGATTGAGATTAAATGGAATTTAGTGATAAGGAGCAGACGAAGAAAGGCGTGGGAGAAGGAGGGAGATACAGGGTCGGAGAGAAACAAAGAGAGTGTAGGGTGGGAGGGGGGAGCGGGGCGGGGGAGGGGGAAAGGAGAGCTGAAAGTGAATGAAAGGGAAGTGGATGGGAAAGGAAGACGCAGATTGTCGAATGCGGTGAAATGCGGTGAGATGCGGTGGAGGAGGAAGGAGCGTACCGTGGAGAAGCCGTAAATGCAGTAGTCGGGGTTGCGCAGGAGAGCGAGAACGGTCTCTGAAGGAAGGAACGGGAGCAGCGGAGATGAAAAGAAGAACGCATGGGCGGTGAGATACGGGCTGGCTGGGACATTTTCTAGATGAGAAAATAGGTCGGAAACACCAGCCACACACAGAATCTGGATATAAATCGGCCGAAAAGTGACCGTTATTCAAGCAATGCGAGGGTCCATGTCCGCGAATCACGGATGCTCACCTTGGAGGATGGAGTGCAGGCCCTCCTGCGAGCCGGTGTCGGCGCGCGACGCCATCTGGTCGAGGTCGCGCTGGAGCTTCCTCGCCGTTCCCAGCAGGCCCACCTGCGAGGGAGCGAAGCGCGGCGGTACAAATATTAGTGATTAAGCATGGATTATTGGGGATTGGCAGTCCGTTCCTCCCAATGGGTAAGGAGCGAGAGGGGCGAGTTACTAAGACGGAACCGCTTCGTGTCCACCTTATGTACACGCGTTACACAAGCAGGTTTCCCTGTGATTCACTGAACTACTCCATTACGTGACGTGCGCTAGATACTGCAGCATTGACGTGAGCGTCCTGCTGCGCGCACCCCATGTTTCATTGCCACTCACTCTGCTTACCGCTTTCATCAACTCTTTGCCAATGCACTGCGTAATGCACCCTTGCTACGACATAATACCCCTTACAATGAAATGCGCTCCAGTCACAATTGATTGAATGCACCCTCGCTGCTCACCTGCAGGCGAACCACGCTGCTGCGCTGCGTCTCCGCCCACACCTCCTCCTCCGCTGAGTCCGCGAGGAACCCCATCACGGTCTGCGCGATGAAGTACACGGCGATTGCGAGAAACAGGAACCCGAATATGCCGCCTCCGCCGCCCAGCGAGATCGTCGGCCCGAAGAAGAAGAACGGCGTCGGCATGAAGAACGGCGTCACGGGCGCGACCACGACCGGAGGCGCGGCGTAGGTGGCGGCGGGAGGCGCGTAGGTGTTTGCGCGCGACGCGGAGAACGAGCTTCCGCCGACGCGGCCTCCGCCCTGCGCGGCGAGCGCGTCGTTCGGCGTGCCTGTGAGGACTGAGGCGATCAGCGCGGCCGCAAGGATGGGCTTGACGGCAGCCTTGACGGCTTCCGTGACGGATTCCGTCAGCCTGGCTGGCCTTTGAACGGATGGGACTGTCTCGGTGGCGGACGCTGAGGACGTGGCTGTATCATTACTTCTGCCGGCGGAAGCGCACACGCGGACTTGACGAGAGAAGACGGCAGCGCTGGATGAGGAAGGAGAGATTTGAGATCTTAATTGGGTGTTTGCGGCGATCCTCGCTGCGCCGGAGAGAGACTGCTGCTTCTTAGAAGCGAGCGGAAGAGGCGTGAGGCCTTTGCATTGGAGCACACCAGACTGGAACGCGACAGCGGAAGCCATTAGCGTTTAACCGACTCTGCAGGCTAACTTCGTTTACCTGAGATCGGCGTGCTTTGTGCTCGAATTTTACACAAAGACGGCGCGATTTCTGAGTACTTGATTGCATGAGAGCATGGTTATATTTATGATACTAAAATATCGTCTGGAAGAGCAAGACGAGAAGGATGGAGGGCAAAGGGTGGTTGTGGGGTGGTGGGGAAGGGGGGAAAAAACAGGATGAGTTGAGAGAATGTTCTAGATTTTCGCCCTTTGTGCATTCCTTCTCACCCGTCGGATTTCTCGAAATCTGGATTTAGAAGCAGGTGCGCCGTCCGTTACTGCAGTACGACGATGCGGCTCGGGTGGCAGTAAGTCAGAGGATAGAGCCAGTTGCATCCGAGCTGGATTTGAACGCGAGATTCGTAGAGTGATGAAATTTCAGGGTGGGAGGGAAGAGTTGAGCTGAGTGGATCTTGAGCGACGGTCATTCGAATTGCCACGTCGGACCATCCGAACACCAGCTTGTTTTCTAGGCCACGTGAGAGCAAAAGATTCTGTCCACAAAGAAGCATTCGATTACTAACAGGTCGAGGATCTTAGTACACTGCTGAAAGGAACTGACATACACGTGAAGTCTAGCATTTGGCGTAGAGGATACGATAGAAGGTTGCATAGCAAACAACTGATAATGATCCACTATTAACTGAATTCTGATCAACCATGACAGCCTTGAAAAACTTCAGGGCCGCCATATATTTTATCAGACTCTTTGAACAACCCAATGTGTAGTGATTTCACATCGGTTTAGATTCGGCATCCACGTGGCATTGCGAACCTCAGAGTACTATATTTGTACCTATACGTTGGGCATTCTACCACCTATGCCTTTCTCCCACATAACAAAGCAAGGCTACGACTATAGTTTTCTCGGGGCCCATAGAAGTTTCTTCCAAGTCTACAACCATAATGAAGGTCACGACAAATAACGGTTTTATCATGCTCCTCGGAAATGCGAGCGTCATCGACACGGAACTTCCTATATCAAGACTTCAGTGCTCAGTTTCGGCCCATTCTCGGTTTTTCACCAGACCTGCAGAGCTTGCCACCATTGTGTCAGAACATATAGCTTACTTATTTGTGTAGGCTATAGTGGGGTATCCCATAGGGGGTACAACCCAATTTGGGTTTCCTATTTGTACTCACTTCGTTCATACTCATTCCATTCTCGTTCAATTCTTCTCATGGAATCAGAGCAGGTCCCCTCCTAGGGACTGTTCCTAGGGCCCACCGAAGCGCGCCCCGAGGCGCGCGTTCTTTTTTTTTAGCGACCCTGCGTGTCGCCCCTACCGTCGCGCTCCCGCCGCTCCCTCCTCTTACGGCCGCCCGCCCTAGTGCCCTGACGGCCGCCCGCCCTAGCGCCCTGACGGCCGCCCGCCCTAGCGCCCGAGCGCCAACCGCCCTAGCGCCCTGACGGCCGCCCGCCCTAGCGCCCTGCCGGCCGCCCGCCCCAGCGCCCGAGCGCCGCCCGCCCTAGCGCCCGATCGCCGCCCGCCCTAGCGCCCGAGCGCCGCCCGCCCTAGAGCCCTGACGGCCGCCCGCCCTAGCGCCCGAGCGCCGCTCACCCTAGCGCCCTGACGGCCGCCCGCCCTAGCGCCCGTGCGCCACTCGCCCTAGCGCCCGAACGCAGCCCGCCCTAGCGCCCTGACGGCCGCCCGCCCTAGCGCCCTGACGGCCGGCCGCCCGCCCTAGCGCCCGAGCGCCGACCGCCCTTTCGCCCTTACGGCCGCCCGCCCGAACGCCTGAGCGCCGCCCGTCGTCGCCCCAACGCCCTAGCGCCCGACGCCCGCGAGCCGCCCGTCGCAGCCGCCCGTGAGCTCCCTGAGCCGCCCGCGCCGCCGTCCCTGAGCCGCCTGTGCAGCCGCCCGCGAGCCGCCAGCGAGCCGCCCGTCGCGACACCGGCGCCGCACGAGCCGCCCGTACAGCCGAGCAGCCCGAGCCGCCCGAGCCGCCCGCGCCGCCCCAGCAACCCGAGCCGCCCGAGCCGCCCGAGCCGCCCGAGCCGCCCGAGCCGCCCGAGCCGCCCGAGCCGCCCGAGCCGCCCCAGCCGCCCGAGCCGCCCGAGCCGTGCCGCTGTTCCTGAGCTGTGTTCCTCTGCTGCTGACCTACCCGACTCTCCCAGCCCGGTGAGACTTTCAGCTGCTGCCATGGCCACCCCCAATGTTCTTACTTTTGACGCTGAGGGGAGGGCCATTGACTTTGCCGTCTGGATTGAAGACCTGCAGCTGTACTTACTGTGTGATGCGATAGATGAGGTCTCTCTCTTTGACTTTGTCTCTGGCGCTGTCCTTGCCCCACCTGCTGATGCTGACTCTGCCGTTCGCTCCAAGTGGGCGACCCGCGATGCTGCTGCACGTCTTGCTGTGCGTCGCCACCTCCCTTCCTCTGAGCGTGCCCACTTTAGTCAGTGCAAGACCGCTCAGGCCTTGTACGACGCTGTAGTTGCACGCTACTCCTCCCCTTCCTCCGCTACCCTTAGCCGCCTCATGCTACCGTTTCTCTTCCCTGACCTCGCCTCCTTTCCCACTGTTGCTGACCTCGTTACCCACCTCCGTGCTAGTGACACCCGCTACCGCGCTGCCCTTCCTGCTGAGTTCCGCGCTGCGAACCCTCCTCCCATGTACATCACTCTCTACTTTCTCGTCACCCGTCTCCCTGAGTCCCTTCGTGTCGTTAGGGACCAGTTTCTCTCTGTCTGTCCCACCACTCTCACTGTCGACCTCCTTGAGGAGTCCCTGCTAGCGGCTGAGAGGAGTATTGTCGCTGTAGGGGCCTCTCGGGGTGACCCTCGCACCCCCATCTTTGAGGGGTGTGGTCCTTCCCCCCTGCTGCCCTCTGTCGCCTCTGCCGCTGCGGCCGACCTCACTGGTTTTGAGTCGGTCGGCGCGGCGTCTGCCCCCAGCGGCAGACGCCGCTCTGGCAAGGGCAAGGGGGGCAAGGGAGCGGGTGGAGCTAGAGGGGGCGGTGGAGGAGGCGGTGGGGGTGGCGGGGGGAGTGGGGGTGGCGGTGGGGGTGGTGGCGGGAGTGGAGGTACTGGTGGCGGCGGTGGAGGCGGAGGTGGCGGCGGCGGTGGTAGCGGAGGAGGCGGTGGGAGCGGTGGGAGCGACGGTCCTGGTGGGGGAGGTGGCGGTGGAGACGGGGGTGGCGGTGGAGGCGGGGGTCGGAGTGGCTCGTCCCAGCGGAGCAGCTCTGGGGGTGGTCAGCGCCAGCAGCAGCAGCAGCAGCAGCCGCAGCAGCAGCCACAGCAGCACCGTGAGCGGTACTTGCAGCGTCAGCGTGGTGGTGCGCTTGGTCCCTGCCCCTACGTTCTTCGCACCGGTGACCGTGCAGGGGAGAGGTGTGGAGGCGCCCACACAGCCCGCCGCTGCTTTGGCCGCCTGACCGACGCCTGGCGTCAGCAGTTTCCGGAGGCAGCTGAGATCCCCCGCTGGGGAGAGCTGTCTAGGGCTGGTGTAGCTATTTATGATCTTGATTTTGATGCTATTCTCTCTGCTATGTATGCTGTGACTGGTAGTGATGAGGATGACTGTTACCGGTGTTTCCCGCCCGACCCGGGCATTGGTACTGCCGCGTCAGGTACTAGTGAGGCTGCTGCTCTAGGTGCCAGTGCGTCTGTGCTCTCAGGTGCTGGTGAGTCTGCCCTCTCAGGTACTGTGTCGGCTTCGGCCTCTCACACCTTCACCCTTGACTCTGGAGCGTCTCGCTCCTTCTTTAGGGACCGCACCACTCTCACGCCGCTGAGTCGGCCGGTTGCGGTGTCCCTGGCTGACCCCTCTGGGGGGCCTGTCCTGTCTCGCTTCTCCACTGTCCTCCCGTGTCCGGCGGCCCCCTCTGGCACCCTGACTAGTCTCTACCTCCCCTCGTTCTCGACGAACTTGGTGAGTGGTGCTGACCTCCAGGATGCGGGTGTCCACCAGTTCACCCCTGCTCGTCAGCGGGTGACTCACTGCACGGAGGCGGATACAGGTCGCCACCTGGCTACGTTTACACGTCGGCCAGGGTCGAGCCTGTACACACTGACCACTGCTTCTCCTCCAGGTGCTGAGTCTGGTAGGGTCCCTTCGTCTGGTCAGGTGTTTGCAGCAGCGTCCAGGTCTGGTCCTGAGTCTGCCCCCTGCTCGTGTCGTCGTCTGTCTCACGAGACCCTCCTCTGGCACCACCGCCTTGGCCACCCCTCTCTGCTTCGGCTCAGAGGCATGGCCTCGCGAGTCCTTGTGTCTGGTCTTCCCCGGTCTCTCCCTCCCCTTCCTCGGGCCCTGGCCCTACCTGTGTCCCCTGTGTCGAGGGGCGCCAGCGTGCTGCCCCTCACTCCTCCCAGTTTCCTCCGACAGAGGCCCCGTTGCAGACGCTTC